ACTTCATAAAGCAAAAAGACAAGCCACCAACTAAGAAAAGATATTTGCAAGCTGCCCAAACAGCTTGTTTTTCCAGAATATGGGAAATAAATAACAAAAAGCCTAAGAATCAATAAGACAGCCAACAGGCAAAGTATGTAAAGTTCAAAGTCACAGAAAAGAAAAAGTGAAAGACAAACAACAAGAACAAAAAACACATGAAATCACATTTACTTCCACTAGCAATAAGAGAAATGCACACAAGCAAGAATGACAAAATTTTTAAAATAGCCAATCACAGCCAGGTGTGGTGGCCCACTCCTGCAATCCTAGCACTCAGGAGCCTGAGGCAGGAGGATTACTGGGAGTTCAAGGCCAGCCTGAACTACATAGCTAGACCCTGTGTCAAAAAACCAAACAAAGAAAAACAACACCCCTCCCTGCAAACAAAACCAATTACAGTATTGGGGAAGAACTAGAGCAATCAGCAAATTTATAAACTATCCATTGAAATATAAATTGTAACAATTTTTTTAAGAGCAGTCTTTTTTTTTTTCTTTTTTCTTTTTGGTACTGGGGATTGAACTCAGGACCTTACTCTTGCGAGGCAGGTGGCTGAACCACTGAGCTAAATCCCTGGCCCAAGAGCAATCTATTTTTAATATGTTGTAGTAATATAAAAATAAATATATTTACTTGAGCCACTAAATTCTAGGTATGTTATTCTAAGAAAGTTATTATTATCTGTATGTAAAGAGAAAAGAATATTAATGGAATCTTTAGAATTAAAATCTAGGCCGGGCGTGGTGGCGCACACCTGTAATCCCAGCACTTGGGAGGCTGAGGCAGGAGGATGTTGTGAGTTCAAAACCAGCCTGGGTTACATAGGGAGTTCCAGGGGCCCGAGATTTAATTTATCTCAGTGGTTCTACCGCCTGCCTCGAAGACCTGAGTTCAATCCCTGGTGAAAAAAAAAAACCCAAAACATAGTGAGTTCCAGGTCAGTCTCAATTACATAGTGAGACCTTGTTTCAAAAAACAAATAAACAAACAAACAAAAAAAAAAGTGAAGAAGAAGAAGAAGAAGAAGAAGAAGAAGAAGAAGAAGAAGAAGAAGAAGAAGAAGAAGAAGAAGAAGAAGAAGAAGAAGAAGAAGAAGAAGAAGAAGAAGAAGAAGAAAAGAAATAAATTAGATATACATAGCCTTTGGGTCAATGGGAAAAAGGAAGGACAATTTAAAAACTGTTGCAGAAACAACTGGTAGCCCATATAAAATACTAAATCAAGCCAAAGAGTTTAAAGACAAAGCCATGAAAATCCATTCCTTAAAATATTCAGAAAAACAAATACAGGAAAACATCTTTATGATCTCAGGGTAAAAAGAACTTTTGCATAAAAACGCCAAACCCTAAAAATTTTTTTTTTGATAATAGCAACATTAAACACTTCTGTGCATCAAAGACTTCATAAAGCAAAAAGACAAGCCACCAACTAAGAAAAGATATTTGCAAGCTGCCCAAACAGCTTGTTTTTCCAGAATATGGGAAATAAATAACAAAAAGCCTAAGAATCAATAAGACAGCCAACAGGCAAAGTATGTAAAGTTCAAAGTCACAGAAAAGAAAAAGTGAAAGACAAACAACAAGAACAAAAAACACATGAAATCACATTTACTTCCACTAGCAATAAGAGAAATGCACACAAGCAAGAATGACAAAATTTTTAAAATAGCCAATCACAGCCAGGTGTGGTGGCCCACTCCTGCAATCCTAGCACTCAGGAGCCTGAGGCAGGAGGATTACTGGGAGTTCAAGGCCAGCCTGAACTACATAGCTAGACCCTGTGTCAAAAAACCAAACAAAGAAAAACAACACCCCTCCCTGCAAACAAAACCAATTACAGTATTGGGGAAGAACTAGAGCAATCAGCAAACTTATAAACTATCCATTGAAATATAAATTGTAACAATTTTTTTAAGAGCAGTCTTTTTTTTTTCTTTTTTCTTTTTGGTACTGGGGATTGAACTCAGGACCTTACTCTTGCGAGGCAGGTGGCTGAACCACTGAGCTAAATCCCTGGCCCAAGAGCAATCTATTTTTAATATGTTGTAGTAATATAAAAATAAATATATTTACTTGAGCCACTAAATTCTAGGTATGTTATTCTAAGAAAGTTATTATTATCTGTATGTAAAGAGAAAAGAATATTAATGGAATCTTTAGAATTAAAATCTAGGCCGGGCGTGGTGGCGCACACCTGTAATCCCAGCACTTGGGAGGCTGAGGCAGGAGGATGTTGTGAGTTCAAAACCAGCCTGGGTTACATAGGGAGTTCCAGGGGCCCGAGATTTAATTTATCTCAGTGGTTCTACCGCCTGCCTCGAAGACCTGAGTTCAATCCCTGGTGAAAAAAAAAAACCCAAAACATAGTGAGTTCCAGGTCAGTCTCAATTACATAGTGAGACCTTGTTTCAAAAAACAAATAAACAAACAAACAAAAAAAAAAGAGAGAGAAAAGAAAATCTAGGAATAAACTAAATGTCCATTGAAAGATAATGGATATTGTACAAATTACACTCATTTTTATATGATAAAATAGAAGTGACAGTGAATGAAATATAGCTATAGTACAATATTAGGATGAACCTTATAAAGATGAGACAAAAAAATTGCATAAAGATATTTGCAGGGAAAAAGGTACACAAAACACTGTATCTTATTGTGGAGGTACATTTAGATTAATAAAAGTATATATATGCCCTTGGAAGTGATACACATCAAGACAATTTTATCACTGGTGAATAGGATTAGGAGGGCCACATAGAAAATTTCAGTTAAATGTAAGATTTTTAAAAAGTGGATATAAGCCAGGCATGATGGTGCTTGTCCTTCATCCCAGCACTCAGGAGGCTGAGGCAGGAAGATTGCAGTGAGTTTAAGACCAGCCTGGGTCTTGGGATTTAGCTCAGTGGTTCTGCTGCCTGGCTTGAAAGCACAAGGACCCAAGTTCAATCCTGGTACCAATGGTAAAAAAAAAAAAAAAAAAAAAAAAAAGTGTGTACAAGGTTATGTTTTATTCTGTTTTTCTTTTTTTGCAAACTAGAAATATTTCATAACATCTGCAAAAGAAAAATCATCCATCTTATAAATTGAGGAATGAACAGAAGGAAGCATATTAGGAGAGGACTGCAGTGCTTGGATTGAGGATGTGGCATAGTGTCTGGCACACAGTAGGTGCTTTACACACAGGTACTTTTGTTGCTACCATTACCACCATCATCATGGTTAAAGTCTAAAGATACAGGGGAATTGTGAAGAAATGTAAAACCAGAGCAGGTATCTTTTGCTGGGTGTTTTATTCCCCTCTTGGCTAGCCTAGTTTGGAAGGAATCTAAGGATCAGGAGGTGCTAGCCCCAAGGCACAACGGCTACATAAATTTCTATTGACTCATTCCCAATGTTGTCACACAGCCACACCCCAAACACACACACCTTTCCTGCGCAGCACTTAAAAGAATTCAAGGGCCTTTTTTCCTCTTATAAGTGGCATATTCTGAGCTAAATAATTCCATGTTACAAAATAGTCGGGGTCCCTCACAGAGCTCCAACGAAGAAAGGAGAGTTGACTATTCTTGTAACACAGACACTCACAGAGGCTAAATCAGAGGTTCCTAACCTGGTGTTCAAGAACTGCATGAAATCATGTATGTTAAACAGTTTACAATTGAAGTTTTTTGCCCCCCTAGGTAGTTATTTTCTAAATCCATGACTTCCCCCAAAGAGGGGAAAATGGTCAGATGATTTGCTTAAGCCTAAAGTCACATGGTCCTGAGTGCTGATGGAGTCCTGACCCAACTAGTTTTTCCCCACCTCATGATCAGAATATGGCTTATAACAAACAACCTATCGTTAAAATGTAAATAAAATAAATTATTGGTAAAATAGTGTGTCATGCTCAATGACTGCTAAGATGCAAGCGTTATTAAACACGAACATATTACTTTGGAGGAATAGTGTTGTTTGGTTCAGCTGTTGGGCAGTCACTGTAATGCAGGTGGGTGTTACTTTACAGATGGGCAATTCAAGAACAGTTTTCACAAGCCAGACTGGACTTGCTATACAATAAATGAACCTGATGCAGCAACTACATACGATATTTTACAATCATCAAGCATAAGCATGAAGCCGGGCACACGTCTGTTATCCCAGCACTCTAGGAAGCTGAAGCCAGAGTATCCGAAGTCTCAAAAAGTAAAAAGAGGTGGAGATGTAGCTCAGTGAAAAGGCCCTGAGTTCAATCTCCAGTATCACAGCGTTAAAAAAGCGCACAGAGACTGATCTAGGCTTGGGAGCGGATCACGAACCAAGAATGAGATTTCCATTTCCCCTGGACCAGCCAATGTCTGTGGGCGTCGCTTCTCTCGGGTGTAGAAGGATGAACCAGAGGGCCTCCCAGATACACGTGGATAGGATTAAAACATGCAGGACACCCTAAGTTCTCACACAGCCTCCCCTTCTAATAGCAAAGCACCAGTCATGGCCCCAAAGTGATCCAAAGCAGCCTGAGAACGGACCGACGCCCGCACGCCCGCACCGCGACAGTGGGCCCCGAGGTGGCGCGCCGGGAAGAGACTTTGGAAGGCAACGCCCCGGTTGGGACTCCAGGATCCTAGACCTATACATTTAGCACTTGAAAGAAAGCGAAAACGCCCGAACGGCCTGCCGAGACAGGACTGGACCAGTTTAGCCAGGGTGAGGCGGCAGCAGCGGGGTGGGACTCAAGTCCCGACCTGGTTGCGCCAGGGAACTTCCGGCCCGGCGAAGCCACGTGACAGGCGCGCCCTGACCCGTGCGCATGCGCGCCGCTCCCGGCGCTGAAATTCAAATTTGAACGGCCGCAGAAAGCCGAGTCTGACGCTGCTGGCTGAGAGTTGAGAGTTGGTAGTGGATGAATTCTCCTGTTGGGACTTTTTGTTTTCTCCGGGAGACACGCTGAACCCCAGACTCACTTTTCTTTTCCTGAATTTGAACCACCCTTTTCGCCGTCCCACAGTCGGCACGCGACGCCCGGAGCGATGGACCCTTTTACGGAGGTGAGAAAATTTGCGGGCGCGGCCAGCCATGACCCCTTTCGACTCCCACCCTCTCTCCCCTCTAGCTGTCAACCTCTGGCTCACCCGCCCGAGAGCGCGTGCGTGCGCGTGCGCAGTGCGTGAGAGCGTGGTGGGTTTGGCGCCCCCAGAGCCGGGGAGACCAGGTCTGGTTGCAGCTACTAACTGCTCCGCGTCTCAGGTTTTCCCGTGGCGGTGGTGTTCCTGCCCTGGCTGAACGAACTCGGGGAGGAAAGCTTTGAGCCCGTCTTAAAAGGCGGTAGTGCAGAAGCTCTGGCAGCCCCTGTTACTGCAGTGGCCCTCGGGAGTCCTGTCGTGATCCCCTTCCTGGTCTCTTTCCCTCTGCCCAGAGTGAGTCTTGGATCTCACGGAACGAGGCCTGCTAAAAAAAGCTGGAATCGCTGGCGGGGTGGTGCCCAATGAGTCAGGGCTGCGTGTGCAGCCACTGCCTGGAGACGGGAGGGGATGCGATATGGCGATTTGCGTGTTTAAGGTCCTCCTAACGAGAGGGCCACGCAGCATTAAGATGCGCAGGTGCCTGACCTTTGCGTCCACCCCCCGTTGCTCTTGTAATTCGAGGTTTCATACCTGAGATCTTTTTTGAAAGTAAACAGGGCTGGCTAATCCACTGGGTGGAAACCAAGACTATTAGCCCAAGATTGAAAAAGAGAAAAACCTAAAGATGTAAATAAACCATTCAGTGTTTATGGAGTGTTACTCCCAACAATACCTGCCTCTTTTGTTCCTCAGAAATACAGTGTGGATTGCATTGCTATTTTGTCTCTAGTTTTAGGTTCTTGTTGAGGATGCATATCTACACATTGAGGAGTTTCGTTTTGCTGGTTTGTCTACCCGTTTTAGTTTTACGAAGTTCCTCTTTAGGCTGTTGTGCAACTTCCAAACTGCAATTTTGTGTGTGCTTAAAAGTAATTCTACACTAGACCTAAAACCTAAATGCGGTGGAGTGGACTAATGCATCCTTTTAGAAATAATTACAACTCCATAAGTTAAGTCTACACACTAAAACTTTCTTTTTTTATTTTTTAATTGAATTTATTGGTACATTCTAGGTAGACAGTACAGTTACATTCATTACTGGGATCTTGTACCTTTACATGCCAGGTCTTGGTTCTCATTTTTTCCCCTTGTCCCCACCATACTAAAAATTTCAACAGTTAAAAATTTATCTGTATCCAAACAAGCTATTTTTGTTTCAAATTTTCAGTTATCTTGTGGAAAACATCAATTTGTTCAGCTTATTTAAAGGTTCTAATAGGAAAATCCAACACATTTTTTAATTAGTTTTAAACACTGGGGCTGGTCATGCACTAAATGTCTGTCATTTACATTGAAGCTAAAAAGTACATATTATTTTATGGTACGTGTTACGTTACAGCCTGAAGACAAGGCTGTATGTTCTCTTTAGTAACTGACAAGAAAGAGTGAATGCCTGGGAAGAAATATTTTGGAAGTTGGCTGAAAATTTTTTCTTAAAAATGTCATTTTGAAGCTAGTGCAAATCTCAGTTAACTGAAACGTTCTGTTTAGATAATTTTAGAAATGTGTTTTGGTTTCATACGTATAGTTTTATCATGAACGTTGGATCAGTTGCATTTGGAATAACAGCTTTCACAGCCTTTCCTTAATTGGTAACAAGTGAACTAGTTGAACTAGTTCCAACTTCTAGGTGCTTGATGATGGCATTTGTAACATTTTTTGTACAATGAAATGAACTGCTGGTACATTTTCTCTTATAAAGGACTTAGGGGGCAGGGATTTAGCTCAGCGGTTTGGTCGCCTGCCTTGCAAGCACAAGGACCCAAGTTCAATCCCCGGTACCAAAAAAATAAAAAGGACTTAAAGTCATTATAAAGTGACTATCAAGAGCTTCCTTCTCAAAACCATGGAGCACAATAAATTAAGAGACAGTTTTCTCAGTTTTTCCAAGGGTGACTCATAGCAGCACTAGCCTGCAAATAGGAAAGGAATTAAATCATTTACATGAATCTCAAGACCAGTTCTAATTCTCTTGATTAACTGTGGTCCACAAAGGTTACAGTCATCCTAAATTCAATTTTCTTTAAACAAGGCTTTGGCATTGGTTCCTGCCTCTGCTGCTGTCCACCAGCTCTTGTCAGAATCCCAGCCTTTTCTGCCTGGAAAGCTCCAATATGATCTCCAGCTTTCTTTGTTTTTGTTTTTTGTTTTTTGTTTTTTTTTTGAGACAGGGTCTCACTGTGTAGTTGAGACTGACCTGGAACTCACTATGTAGCCCAGGCTGGTCTCAAATTTACTGCAATTGTCCTGCCTCAGCCCCCCGAGTGCTGGGATTACAGGCGTGTGCCACCACACCCACGGCCCTTGATCTCTAGCTTTCAATGTGATCGCCCATCTCCAGAGAGGAATCACCTTTCCCATTGCTCATCTCACTTGCATTTACTGTTGAACTGAGCCGTTTGAAGGCAGGAATTGTTCTTTGCTGCTCAGAGATAACTTTCATCAACATCAAACACAAATAATATATTTCTGTATTAACACAGTGGACAGCTATTAAGTACCAATTATTTTATAAATCTATTAGAACATGTTAGCAATTTTTTTTAACTGAAGAAAATTTCAAAATACATAAAAGTGGAATAACTTCATGCACCCATCATCTAACTTTTGCATTTATCAACATGAGCCATATTGTTTTTTGCTTTATCCTTTCTCACCTACTCCACTGAATTATTTTGTTTTTGTTTTTTGAGATAGGGTGTTATGTAGTCCAGGCTGGCCTTGAACTTGCAGCAGTCCTCTTCCTGAGTGCTGGGATTACAGTCATGAGCCACCACACCAGGCTCCCACTGAATTATTTTGAAGCAAATTTTAAGCATCATATGCAGTGGTACCTTGGTTCACAAATTTAATTCTTTCTTTGATTCTGGTTGCAAACTGAATTGGATGAGAATCAAATATAATTTTCCCGTAAGGTCAACGTTGAACCTAACCATTGAATTTGATTCGGTTCTAGTCCAATTTGGTTTGCATCCAGAATTGTGGAAAGAATTAAGTTTGTGAACCAAAGTATCGCTGTAATTTCATACACAAATACTTTAGATATGAAAGACTCTTTAACAAAGCATAATAACAATGTCATTATCACATTTAAAAAATTAAAAGTAATCCCTTAATATTATGGATAGCCTGAGATTCAGATTTCCCCAAGTGTTATATATTTTTATACTTTATTTCTTTGAATTTGGATCTGGACAGAGTACACAGGGCAGTGTGTGTAAGTGGTTCTTTATGAAGCAACCATAAATAGAGAAAAGAATTTTATATATTTTTATACTTTATTTCTTTGAATTTGGATCTGGACAGAGTACACAGGGCAGTGTGTGTAAGTGGTTCTTTATGAAGCAACCATAAATAGAGAAAAGAACCCATCTCAGATTGATTCACGGACTAACAAGCAATTGTGACATGCATTTGTTATCATCATCGGGTAGCAAAAATTTTGATGTGAGGTTGGCTTGTTCTGCTGACAGTAAGTTTCTAAAAAGACCAATGGCTTTGTCAAGAGACAATTTTAGTGACATGGTTAAAAGAACCCAGACCCTGGATCCTGGATCTGATCCTGCTTTGCCTCTTTTTAGCCCTGTGACCTATCTTGTGTTACTTAGCCTGTACCTCAGTCTCTCATCTGTAAAGTAGTAGAAGAAATAGAACCTACCAAGTAATTTTTTTTTTTTTTGGTATGGGGGATCAAATTCAGGTCCTTGTGCTTGAGAGGCAGGCAGTGGCGCCACTGAGCTAAATCCCCGGCCCAGCCAAGTAAGGTTTTGAAAATGAAATGTGCCAGACCCTGAAAGTACTTTATATTAAATTCTGTGTAATTGTTACATTATTTTTGTACTTGTCAGATGAATTTAAAATCAGACTTGCTACTCTTAACACTGGTATAAACTCATAGTTTGAAATATTATCAAAGGTGAGAGTCATTTCAGTCTAAGAGTAGTACAGAAAAAGAGCTAGAAGTGCTAAGTCACAATTTTTTTTTTTTTTTTTGAGACAGGATCTGCTATGTAGTCCAGGCTGACCCTTGAACTCACTATGTAGCCCAGGCTGTCCTGGAACTTGCAGCAATTCTCCTGCCTCAGCCTCCCAAGTGGTGGGATTACAGGTGCGCACCACCATGCCCAGCTACAACTTTTTTTTTTGTACCTGTGATACCAACTCAGGACCTTGTACTTGCCAGGCAGACACTGTGCCGCTGAGCTAATTCCCCGGCCCCTCCTATATTGACACTTTAAAGGGATAAAACTAAAGTTAAAATACTTTCATGCTAAATACTTTTAGCACCTACTAAGAGTTAAGAAGGAGGATTATTTGAGCACAGAAGTTCCAAGCCAGAATAAGCAAAATATGGAGACTCATCTCTTAAAGAATAAATAAATAAAATACTTCCTGAAGGCATTTTAAAAAACAACTTATGAGATATTTTAAATCCTGTACGTGCAAGCTAAGTATAAATAAAGAAAAAGACTGTCACTGTTTTCATTTTCCAGAATTAAGTAACAGTCTCTAGATTGTATTAAATTCTTGAGACAGTATTATTAGTAATAGCTATTCACACTTATTGAGCTGTTGAGTTTATGTACTTTAGATTTAATCATTTCTTTTACATTGGTAAACTTTGGTGTTTATCAGTTTTTTTTTTTGGCTTATCTATAACTTTTTAAAATCTGGGAGTTTTTGAATCTAATGCAAACAGTACAACACTTGTGTATGTTTGAATGGCAAAACCACATTCTTTTGCTGTGACCCTTTGCTCCTGGTAACTGAAGCTGTTCTGACTCATAAGTATTCTAACGGACCAGAATGGACTGTGGGCATGACCATGCCTGAATACAGTTTGGCGGTTTGGTGTCTGCAGAGATCATGGGGAAAATTATCAGACATTTATGAATTTTTGTAACAGTCTGATCACATTTGAGTTAAGGAGATTTTTAATTAGAGGGTGAAGTCTTGTGTTTTGGATTTGGTTCCAAGGCATTTGGTTTAAATTACTCTTTCAGTGGCACAGCATCTTGATTTAGTGTCCTTAATTTTAATGAACTTTAAATGAACTTTAAATTAAAAATTATTCCTAAGATGAGAGTTGTGCCTTGTTCCAAATTTAGCTCATGTTCTTTTTGCATGCTCAAAGGATTTCTTAAACATTGTTCCATTTAATTAAGGAGTTAGAAAGATCAAAAATAGTTTAGTTCCTCAGTCTGTGCTAAGTATTATATCTGTGAATGTAGGATGGTAGTAATCTGTTTCTTTTCTTTGGGTATGTATATTTGAAAGAGATTAAATTGTTTTATACCATGCTCATTCAAATAGGAACGTCAATTGATTCAGAGTAAGAGAAGAGGAGTAATCATTATTTTATGTTACACAGCTGAGATTTGAACTTAAAACTAGTTAATATATGTGGATGTTTAATGAAATAAAACATGAACTTAGCTTTATTTTTCTCCTAGAAAGTGTCTTATGGAAGGAGTTTAATCTGCCATCTCTTGCTACTTGCCACCATCACAAATCCAGGGGGCCCTATTGGTCTTGCTGCTGTAATAGCAGCAAACTAAAAATTTAGTGGCTTAGAATAAAGCATAGTCATTATCCTTCAGCTCTGTAGGTCAGAAGTCTGAAGTGGATTTTCCTGAGTTAAAATCCAGGTGTTGGCAGGATTTTTTTTGTTTTGTTTTGTTTTGTTTGTTTGTTTGTCCCTCCTGGGAACATTAAAGGAAACTGTCCCTTTTCCAGCTCCTAAAGGCCCCCTGCATTCCAGGCTGTGGTCCCTTTCGTCATCCTCAGAGCTACCAGTCACACTACTCTGCCCTCTGTTTCTGTCTACATATCTTTCCTAACTCTGATTTTTCTGCCTCCTTCCTTCCCTCTTTTCCTTTGTAAGAAAGAAACCTCTTTGCATTGGACCACCAGATAATCCAGGATAATCTCTCCGATCTCAAGGTTCTTAATCACCTCAGTAATGTCTGTTGTGCTATAAGGTAACATTTTCACAGGTCAGAGCATTAGGACATGAACATCTCTGGGAAATCATTATTCTGCTTGACAGATTGACTTAAAAACCATTTTGTTTTTGCCGGGCGTGGTGGTTCATGCCTGTAATCCCAGCACACGGAAGGCTGAGGCAGGAGGATTGCCAAGAGATCAAGACCAGCCAGGGCTACATAGTGAGTTCCAGGTCAGTCTCAGCTACATAGCGAGACCCTGTCTCAAAAAAAAATTTTTTTTTTTATTTTTAATGATTCATCGGGTCCCAATTGGTATTGGGCTCAGCTGGGCTGTTCTTCAGCTTATTTTGCTTTGGAACATGAGGATGTTCCAGTGCTCTGGTAAATTCTCCAAGGCAGAATGGCCTGAGACCTGAGTCATGTGACTAGGGGTTGATGCTGGACGTCAGTAGAGTGGTGATTTTCCAGCAGGCTTAACCTGCGAGTTCTCAGTGGGGCAGTGGTCTGAGAAAGGAAGAGCAGAGACTGTAGGATTTCTTCAGGCCAAGGACTGGAAGTCACACCATACAGTACGTTACTTCTGCCATATTTTATTGGCACAAGCAAATCAGAAGGCCAGCCCAAATTTAAGGTTGGGAAAACCAATTATACCTTTTGGGGAGAGCAAGGGCTGGAGATTTGGCTCAGTGGTTCTGTCACTTGCCTTGCAAGCACAAGGACCTGAGTTTGATACCCAGTAGCAAAAAAAAAAAAAAAAAAAAAGTGTATTTTTTGGTGAGAGCAGAAAGAACTTGTGGCTGTTTAAAATCGTGTGATTATCCTTGTGCCTTGTTCCTTAATATTCTTACTGAATCTGTAATGATTTTGAGATTGCAGTGGTATCTGGTAAGTCTTGCCTTAAATACATAGGATTTCACTTTTGAAATGTATGTAACTGTTACCCTGCATGACGTTTGATGGCTTTAGATGCCCAGGTTTTTGTAAACCTTTGACTAAACTTGTGTTTTAACACTTTGCTATGTTATATATATAGAAACTGCTCGAAAGAACCCGTGCCAGGCGGGAGAACCTGCAGAGAAAAATGGCTGAGCGGCCCACAGCTGCTGCCAGGTCTGCAACTCATGCCAAGCGACTGAGGGAGCCACTTTCAGAAGCAAGTAACAAGCAGCCCCCGTCCAGTGGTGAAGGTAAAATATTGGCAGTGGTGTGGAGTTTTTCACCCCAACAGGGACAGAGTGGCTGGCTGCATTTTCAGATGGTGTCTCTGGCATGAACAAGGAAACAGAAGGCTGACTGTGTACCAGTGCTGAGTTAAATATACCTTTGTCATGCTGTGTTTGCTGACCAAACTCTCTAGGACTGTGCTCAAAGTTTAGACTTAATCTCCAGGAGTGCAGGAATTAAAAAATCAACCCACACACACATCTTCACCTGGAATCTTCTGTTCTTTTCAAAATCCAACACCAGTCTTTTTCCTGGAGTGTGTAACAGTCTTGTGTAATAATCTTCCTTATACTATTTGAAAAATCTTAAATATAGAAAGTGAGTATTACAAAGGGCAAAACCAGTGTTGCAAACACAGGCATGGGGCTGGCTTAGTTCTTTTGGAAGCTAGCCATAGAGTGAGAATTTATTTTCATGTTTATACATTTTGCAGAGAAGTAGGTATTACGTAATTTTGTATTTTGTGATATTTAAGCCAGGAACATGGGACCTGGCTGTAGTCTTGGATCTTCTATTTTCACCGTGACACTGTCGAGTACTTCTGAGAGTATTATATACTTGAAAGCTAGTGCTGGGAACTTCATGTTTTTGATTTTTGAGACAGGGACTGGAACTCACTGTGTATCCCAGGCTGGCCTTGCACTCATAGTGCTTCTCCTGCCTCATCTTGCTGGGATTACAGGCATGCACCACCATCCCAGCTCATTTTGACATTTAAATGAAAGAGCTCTACACTTGCAGAATCTGTAGAATCCTCACTCTCCAGATGTTTCATGTTAAAATAGGAACACTTTAAAAGATGATTAGATAGGGCCAGGGATTTGGTTCAGTAATTCTGCCACTTGCCTTACAAGTGCAAGGGCCTGAGCTCCATCCACGGTTCCAAAAAAAAGATTAGATAAAAAAATGATTAGATGAGTTTGTAGACTGATCCATAAGTGAGTTAGGAAGGACTAGGAAGTTTCATGGTGTGTGTTTAATTATGTTGTTGATGAGCACAGCCATGACTTCCCACTGATACTACTGTAGTTATTGCTAAAAACAATACTCGGAGATGAGATGACCTGTATTAGATTTACATTCTTACAAAAGTATTTTCAAGGGATATATTGAAAGTCATTCATAGGTGGGAAATAATATGCCTTAAGTTTGAAAAGCTCCATTTTAGGGTATTTTTCACTTACTTTATAGGTGTTCTCAAAACTGTGAAATATTAAATACTGTATCAGTGACTTCATTTGGTATTGACCAGAAAATTCAGTTGCTTATTTTGATCTCGGCCTCTCTCCTGAAGCTCAAGCCAAGTGCTTTTCTGTCCTAGCTTAATAGTTATTGTCCATGAAAGATTGTTTCAAATACAGAAGTTCTGTTTTCTATCTGTATGACTCAGTGGGTATCTTAATTTCTCCATACTTGACTTTTCTTACCTAAATATGAGGTAGTGGGTTATGTGATCTTTAAAATCCCTTAGAGGACTTGCTTATTCTGTGTGCATGTACTTTCTTTTTCTATAGTCTTATGACCATGTAAAGTATTATGCATATATTTTAGGATGTTGTTTAAATTTTCATTATGGATTTCAAGTCATAAATTATATATTCATTTAAAAAAAGTCTTTCAAATTAGATTTCTGAGTTACTGAATGAGTGGCATTTTAATATATGTTTTGTGACTAAAACATTTAAATTAAGTATTAGAGAAGCAATGTTTTATTAATTTGTTAAGTACCTACCTCAAACTTCTCATGCTGTGAGGAATTATGGAATTTTCAATTTTTTTGTTCTTTTTAATCTAGAGAAATCTTGTACAAAACCGTCACCATCAAAAAAGCGGTGTTCTGACAACACTGAAGTAGAAGTTTCTAACTTGGAAAATAAGCAGCCAGTTGAGACAGCTGCTGCAAAATCTTGTTCTCCCAGCCTGGAGTCTCATCAAACACCGCCACCGACACCCACTGGGGTCAGGGACTCTGCGGCTGCCCCAGCATCACAGACGGGCCTGGGGAGAGAGCTGCACCCGAGACTGGAAGTAGCTGCAGGCTCCTCAGTGAAAACACGCATGCAGAAACTTGCAGAGCAGCGACGCCACTGGGATAAGGACACAGCAGGTACCAGTGATGTGGGTGGAGGGGTCTGTCAGTCTCCTTTGATAAGATTCAGTTTGGTATTTGGAAATTTTATCAGTTAATACATGAAAGGCACATGCTTTGGTTTTTTTTCTATACTCAGAGCATCCTTCGTTTGCAAATGGTTTTTGTGCCAGTATTATTAAGGTAGTTATGTTCTTGAAGTACACTGGGACAAGGTTCTTGGACCACTTCACAGTAGCTTGGCCAAGAAACCTGCCCTGGGATGGCAGCTGAAATTCAAACCCCAATAGTCTGATAAACTACTGTAGCGACCTGCCTGCTTGCTGTCTCTTGGCACACAGTAGCATGCCGATGATGTATGGCAGTGATGAACCACCTTTTAGAACTTTCACTGATACAAACAGCCCATTGCTGCATGCATGCTGTGGGTTTGCCACCACTGGTTTATGGTGTCCTTTAATACCTGTTCATTCTAGTGGTGGGTGAGCTTCAGCATATTTCTGGGTAAAGCCCAGGGAGCCAAATGAGTAAATGTACCCGAGCAGATGAATGTGCTGTTTCTGCTTTGTTTTATTTTTTGCCATTTCTGTTTTATAGGAAATATCTATAGATATCAGAGTGCAGATTTTTCTTAATTATAACAGAAGTTGGTTGGTTTTTGTTGTTGTTGTTGTTGTTTTGTTTTGTTTTTGGTACCAGGGATCAAACTTGGGACCCGGCACTTGTGAGGTAGGCAGTGGCACCACTGAGCTAAATCCCTGGCCCAAGATGGTCATGTTTTAACATGTGGTCAGAAGAATAACCAGAGCACTAAACATTTTAGATTGTAAGGATTGTCGTGGTTTTGAATATTAGGAAAACAGTTGTTTAAAATGCCTGCCTTGGTTGTAACAGTAAATCTCTCATATGGCACCATCTCTTCTCTGATTTTAAGAAATGAGACTTGTGAATCTAGGGTTTATAATGAATGTCTTAGTGAACCCTAAACAAGGCTGTGGATATAAGTTAAATTGTGTTAGGACTTTAATTAAAATATAATTTATCTGAAATCTTTCTGTAGAAAATAATTAGAAGAGTCAGAGATCTATTAAGTGCACTCCTAAAACATGGCCATGATTGTCATCTTCTTAGAGATGCTTATTCTACAGAAGGTGATAGAAATATATGAAAGGTTATTATGGCTGGGTGTGATGGCTCATGTCTGTAATCCCAGTACTCTGAGAGGCTGAGACAGGAATATCGCATATACAAGCCCAGTTAGGGCAATTTGGTGACATAGTGAGCAGGACTCAAAAAAAGCTGGAGGTACAGTTCATTGCAGAGGCCCTGGATTCAATTCCCAATATAGGCAAACATAAGAAAAAGAAAAAAAGAAAAGGTATTGTAGGGAAGGTAAAGAGAGAAGCTTTTCCTGAGGACTCAGGCCAATAAGCTGGGCTTTGAAGGACACCTGGCTTTAGAGTATGGAAATAATCTAGGTAGAAAAAGGTAATGTGTGAGAAGCACAGAGGTAAATAACATGAACACAGTGTGTAGTTTTTGTTTGTTTTTTTTTTTTTTTTTTGGTACCGGGGGTTGAACTCAGGTCCTTGTGCTTGCGAGGCAGGAGCAGGAACCACTGAGCTAAATCCCCGGGCCCACAGTATGTAGTTTTAATGTATAGTGCAGGTGGTAGGAAAACAAGAGATAAGTTTGAAAAAGCAGCAAGATCCACATTTAACCTGGAGGTAAATGGAAGGTCCTAGCAGTTTATAGCAAGCAAATGTTTTAGAAAGTTCAAGGAGGGATGAGATAGGGCAGAGATTTGGAGGAAGAAGACCAGTTAGAAGGCCAGTGCTGTAATCTAGGTGCACTAGACCTGTGCAAGTGAAGAGAAGCTGAATGTAAAAAAATCTGTAGGACTTGATGATTGGTTGAGAATGAGTGAGAAGGGAGGAAGAAGACAGCTTTCTGGCCCCAGTGATGGATAGTTGGTGATGTCGTTTACTAAGAAGAGGAGTATGCTTGGGGCCACCTGGGCTTCAGGTGTGTCATTTGGGATGCTTATGAGAAAGCCAGCTGGAGGTAGCTGCAGTTGGAAGGCCACGGAAGATGGGCCATAGAGACAGAGGAGCTCGGAGAATGATGTGATGAATGGAGAAGTGATATATTTTAGAGATGTCGAGAAATACAAGATCTGCATGCTAGGTACTGGCATCTAGTGATAATAGCAAACCAGCTTCAGGGCAGTGAGTTAGACAGAGAGCAGGTTTAGTGGTGAGTGAATATTGTATGAAGAAAAAGAAGATGCTTAGTTTTATTTTTTATTCTTTTGTAATAGATAAAGATTTATTTATTTCTGCTTGAGCTTAAATCTAAGGACTTTGCACTAGGCCTTAATTCCAGCTCTATGGATGGATAGATGGATGAATTTTTTTAAAAATTTGAGACTCACTAAATCATTAAGTTTCCCAGGCTGGGCTCAGACTTGTGATCCTCCTGCCTCAGTCTCCCAGAGTGCTAGGACTGCAGGCTCCAACACTATACCTGGGTGGCTTATGTTTATTTTTAGGATGAATGGGATTGAACATATTTATTTTCAGAGAAGACAGACTTTGTAGAGAGGAAGAGGGATGATTTGGAGCAAGATTTCTCAAGAGGTTTTAGAGGCGTAGAACTAGAAATTAGCCAAGAGTGGAGGCCTTGGACAGAAGGCGGGGTTCCTCTTCCCTTGACTGAATTTGTGGAATAGGGAGTGCCACAAACCTCGGCTTTCCTCTATATGTGTATGCACACAGGCCTCGGTCTTTCTTCAGCTAAGTGTCACTATTTGGGTTCGCCTCCAAATGAAGCACAAAAACTGATTTGGCCTGTGTGCTGTCTGAAGAGTAACTATATTTAAAATTAAATAACATTTTGCTTTTCAGTTGTCCTGCCACATTTCAGGGGCTCACTAGCCACATGTGGCCTGTGATAACTGTATCACAAGCATAGATACAGCACATTTCCATCTTGAGGAATTCCATTCCACAGCATTGGTCTAGTTCAGTTTTAAAACAAAAGTTCCTGTAGGTAGAATACACAGTCTTAAGTTATGCAATATTACAGCACCATGAATTGCTTCTAAAAATATAACGTAAACATCTGGTATCTTACAGCATTCATAATCAGAAATTGAAAAAAGCAGATGTTAAGAGTGTTTTCTTTTAAAATTTGGATAAGCATCATTTGCTTTGAAAAGATATCAGATTTTAATAGTGCAGTATTTCATGCATACAAGAGTGGTTTTTTACTACTACTCTCATTTAAAAATTCTCTATGGAATGCTCTTGTTATTATGCATTGCAAGTGTAACTCTTCCATTTTTCTAGACACATTTTCAGATGATGTTCCCACGAGCTCCCTCATTTCTCCAATGCCATCGGAGGTAAAGGCTGCCTGCCCTCCCAAATCCCCTCTTTCTGGTGCTCCAGCAACCCCAGTTGGGCGAAGGGGCCGTCTGGCCAACCTTGCTGCCACCATTTCCTCCTGGGAAGATGATGTAAGTTACTCATCTGCAAAGCAAAGCAGTGTACAAGAACAGCCTGGTACCACTTGTTTATCCAAATTTTCCTCTGCAAGTGGAGCATCTGCTAGGATCAATAGCAGCAGTGTTAAGCAGGAAGCGACATGCTGTTCCCAAAGGGATGGCGATGCAGCTTTGAACAAAGCCTCGTCTGCCAGTGCTGCCACTACCTCTGTACTTCATGCCTCAGTTTCCAGCTCTGTGGTGAGTCAATACCATTTTGGGCTTGGGGACCATATTTGTTTTTTTTTTTCTTTTTTGGCTATTAGAGGTAATGATATACACGTATGTGGGTATGTATTTTATAGTATATGTATCTGTGTGTGTATATGTATCTGTGTGTGTTTATATGTAGTTTTAGAATATTTGCTTCATAGAAAGTGCAAATCGTAAATTTGGTGACCTATCTTAAGATAAATGAACATTTTGAAACTGAAATCACCCTAATTAAATGCAAATCCAAAGTATATAATAATGGAATGGATTGAGCCTCCTTTTGGTCGAGGGGACCACTAGAAATGAATCTCTCCGTTAGAATGTTTTATGGATGTGTGCACAATACTGCATTTATTTCCTAAGAGACATAAACTAGTGGCTGTAGTTGCGTCCAGGAAGGGAAACTGTCAAACAGGAATGTGAGGGACACTTCCACTGTGCACACTTTTGAAATGATTGAAACTTTTACTTTATGCATGCATCATCTCTGCAGTTAAAAGGTAGTCTAAAGAAAAAAAAAAACAGTGTTGTGTTATGTTTCTGATGATTGTCTGTTAATGCCTCATAATTAGAAGTGTGGCATACTAACTTTGTATAACTTACTTAATCTTGCAAAGTCATATTTTTTGGCATGTAAAATGGGGAGAATAGGGCTACTGGGAAGGTTAAATAAGGTAGTATGCATAATGCACTTACTATAGTTCCTGGCTGTATCCTAAATGTTTAAGAATTTTTCATAATTAGACATTGAGTACTTGATACTCTGGCTTGAGGATCTCTGATCTGAAAATCTGAAATTGAAACTCTTCAAACTCTGACTTTCTGAGCACTGACACAATACTAGAAGTGGAAAATTCCACACCAACCAACTTTCACTCATGAACTTACTGAAAATATTGTGCTAGCTTTGTCAGCACATATACTAAAAAATGTTGTATAAAATGACCATCAGACCATGAGTCTAAGCCATATATTTAACATTAATGCGTTTTGTGTGTAGACTTGGGTCCCATTGCCAAGATATTCTATTATGAATATTCCAAAGCCTGAAAAACCTGAAATCTGAAACACTTCTGATCCCAAGCATTTTGGCTAAGGGATAGTCACCTGGGTTTTGTGAATTGATGCTAGTTAAAATACAAATAAAAATGTAATTTGATCACATAGTTAAAATTTAATAGAGATACTAGTGCAATTATATGGAAAAATTTTATAAAATAGGGAATCTCCCTACTCCTAATACTTAATTACCCTTTAATATATAAACTCATAATTTAAATAATAGCATTCAAACCATATGAGTTAGTTTGAGCTATTAGAGAATAAGATTTTTTTTTTTAAATAAGCTTTTCATAAAGACTACTAAGGAATTAGAATTTTTTTGTTAGGGACTTCCTGAGATATTATGAAGATTACTTAGCCTAATTTTTATCATGTTTCAGAAAGCTGCTTCTTCTCCTGTGAAGTCTTCTACATCCACCACCAGTGCTAAAAACTGTGAGGTACAAAATCCTGAGGTACTGCAAAAGACTGTTAGTCCTCTGAAAACAGAGGTGTCAGAACCGGCTGGGAAGGCTGCTTTATCCCAGGGAGTTGGTGCCAGAGAAGAAGGAAACAGAGAAATTCGTCTGCAGTCTCAATCTAAAGACAAATCTACAACTCCAGGTTACGTATTTTAAAAATCTGAAGTTACTGTTGTAGTCAAGCTTCTTTTCTCAGCAGTTTAAATGTCTAGTTGTGACTGATGGTGTTCTTTCGTCAGGACAAGTGCCTAATGTCCTGAATGAGACTTCTCATTCAGCTTTAATTGATGAGTCCTCAGGAGTCAGGTGGATCAGCTCATTAACTAGTCCAAGTATTCAACATGTTCATTGTAACAGTTTAAATATGTTTTTTTCCAGAAGGATCATTCTAGATATTTTTTTCTACATTTTTTTTTTATGTAGGACAAAATTATACAACTGGAAGTTATATTTTACGAGTGTAATGGAGGAACATTTTTGGAGGCAAGTGTACAGAGCAGTGTTTCTCAGTCTTCAATATGAAGTCACCCCAGTAGCAGAGAGAAGTTGAGTGGTCATTAAACTGATTCCATTGCCAGTTATATATTCTTTTCTTATTTTCTTTCTTTTTTTTTTTTTTTGTTTGTTTGTTTGCTTGTTTTGAAGCAGGGTCTCATTATGTAGTTCAGGCTAGACTTGAGCTCACTATGTAGCACAGTCTGGCCTCGTTCTTGTGGTGATCCTTCTGCCTCAGTTTCCTAAGTATTGGGATTACAGGCATGTGCCACCATGGCTGGCTCCAGTTATGTTTTCTTATGTGTACACTGTGTATACATATATAACATATAAAAGCCCACATTTCTTACCATGTTAAACCAACGCCCCATGAAAGGCTATGTTTATCTTGTGGTAATTTATATCTTCTGGTACTTGGCATATATTGTTGGTTAAGAAATACAGCACTAAAAAAATACAGTGCAACAAAAATAAAAGTATGGTGTAGCTATACGGTAACAGTTTACTTTGAACTGTGTCCTTTTTCAATGGAATGGCAGTTTTTATTCTAAAATTTACTTCTTGGAAACACAATCCTTCCAAAAGCTATATAGTTAATCATAAAGGGGAAGTTGGCAGAAAGTTAACAGTAGGGAAGGTGTTGGTTATTGGGTAAATAGAAGCCAGCAGTCAGTTTACAGATGAACTAAAGTAAAAATTTCTATCTCTACCACCACCACTGTGACCAAAAAAACCCAAAAAAACAAAAACAAAAACAAAAAAGTTAAAAACAATAGCAAAATTCTCCATGTGAAATAGGACTAATCAGCAATTTTCTAAAGACTTAAAAGCTTAGATAAGAAACATTCATTTTATTGTTCTTAGTTCCTGGATAGTGTCAATACTTTGCTATCAGGGCCTCAGAGATGCTTATTTTAGATGTTTCTTTGTCTCCTTAATGGCATCCCATTTGAAATATGGCATGAAATGATGGTGACAAGGGGAGTCCTCAGACTATGGCCACAGGTCAAATTCCACATTTTGTTTTTTTCTTTGTAAGTAAAGTTTTATTGGAGCATGGCCATGCCCATTTACTTACATATTTCTGTGGTTTCTTTCATGGTGTAATGCAGAGTTGAATAGTTGTATCAGAGACCATGCGTCCTGGAAAGGCCAAAATATTTATAGGAAAATATGTGCCCTTGTCTTATATAGATAAGCCTGTTTTTATATAATACAACCCCAGAACTCTCTTAAGAAAGTGATACCCCATTTGCCCACTGTAAATGTACTGTTTTTTACATCAACTCAAGTAAGTGTTATTTTAAAACTTTGTAAAAATGAAGACCTACTTTTGGTGATGTGGATAGTTAATTGTTTTCTTTTGAGGGAGGAAAGGAAAAATCCCCAGATATTCACACGATGGACGTCTCAAAAGCAAAATAAAATAGATTGAACTAAAGAAATATAGTTGGAAGTCGTCATGGCCAGGACACTTTATTATTTATTTGTACATGTATAGTCAGTTTCTCATCACTAAAATTTTGATTGCTCAATTTGAGAGTTTTTAAATCCCCATTGCCCTCTCTACATTTTTAACATTTCTTTTTTTTTTTTTTTTTCTCCTCTCTTTTGATACTGAGAATTGAACCCAGGGCATTGTGCATGCTATATTAAGTGCTCTGCCACAAATTACTTTTCCATAAGTTTGTTTTTGTTTTTGGTACCAGGGATTGAACTCAGAACCTTGTGCTTTTGAGGCAGGCAGTTGCACCACTGAGCTAAATCCCTGGCCCCCTCATAAATTATTTTTTAAAAAGAATTAAATGCCACAAAGACATTTTAGAACATGTAACTAAGTAGAACCACATGCTATTTTGGGGACTATTTTATACTGTATACTTGGTCAGTCAACACCCATTAGAAGCAAAGGTTTTTTTTTTTTGGTACCAGGGTTGGAACATGGTCCTTGTACTTGTGAGGCGGGGGCAGAACCACTGAGCTAAATCCCCAGCCCTAGCAAAGCATTTTTTTGTTTTTTTAGATCTTGCTATGTAGCTCAGGCGAGCCTTGAACTCACAATGTAGCCCAGGCTGGCTTTGAACTCACTGCAGTCCTCCTGCCTCAGCCTTTTGGGTGTTGGGATTATTTATAGTCATGCACCAAATACAAAGCATTTTGTGACTAATGTATTTTAGATTTTTTTTTTTTTAATAGAAAACTACTTATTTTGAATAGTCTCAAAAAACATGTTTTGTTTTCTGTAGGAGGAAGAGGAATTAAGCCTTTCCTGGAACGCTTTGGAGAGCGTTGTCGGGAACACAAAGAAAGCCCAGCTCATAACACACCCCATAGGACCCCTGTTATCACCCCAAACACAAAGGCCATCCAAGAAAGATTGTTCAAGCAAAATGCAGGTTCATCTACTACCCATGCGGCACAACAGCTCAAGCAGGTAGGGCTTACTGCATGACATTTTATTCATTGCATGGTCTCAGCATCAAAATCAAAATGTGATTTCTGATGCTCATCTCTTTGGCTGAGGTAAACAGTATCTTAGGTGTCTGTCACTCTTTGCAAATTGGAAATACTGTCTTATATTCCATGTGTATTGCAAACTCTCAATTTTGGGGGGGGCTCCTGGGGATCTAACTCAGGACCTTGCACTTACAAGACGGGTGCAGTGCCACTGAGCTAATGCCCTCAAACTCTCAATTTTAAAACTGAAGACAAGGAAAGCCCTGGTAATGTTTGCGTACTGTCTGTCCTTCTGCCTACTTCTGCCCTCTGTGTAAAATGCATCTTTTGATGGATTTAGGAGCGTCAGAGAGAACTAGCATGTCTCCGCGGCCGAGTTGACAAGGGCCATTTATGGAGTGCAGGAAAAGGCGGGGACTCAGGAAGCAAACAGACAGAAACCAAGCAGGTAATGTGAATGAGAAATACGAACTCCAACTCGGTACCAAAGTAGTGTTTGGATTTAATTGGTAATTTGTATTGTAAAATAAGTTTTTACATGCTTGCCTTTTCCAATTATGCCTGACACTTCCCATTCATAAACTCCTTAAATGTAAAAAAAAAGCTCTACTTTTTCTCATATTTTTCCATTTCAGTGGAACTCTTTACCATATTCACTATGACCTTAAAATAAAATAAAAAATATTTTCATCATTTAATGTCAGATTCTTCTACTTAGATCCTGATTCTGAAATGTTTCTCAAATATACTTTTCTCATTGATATGACTTTTTACTTCTCCTGAAAACCCTACTTTTAGACTATTTTCAGTCCTCTCAGTACCATCTATATCCAGAATTTGTCTCTCTTCCTGTCAAATTCCATTAATCAGCCTTCCAAAATTACCCATTTAAAATGTAAACTATCTTCTACATTATTAACATGACTACAGTATATGAGGATATATTTTTGAACTATATAAATATATAAATATAATTATATTTACAGTGATGACCAATAGAAAGAAGAAGAAAAAATTAATCAGAATTCTTTAAGAAAGATCTGCTTGATTGATTCTGGTTTTGTCAGTTCTCTACCTTAATCCCAGATTCTGACCTCAGCTTTTTCTTCTCCCTCCCTGGGTTGTCTTCTTCTCAGGTCTGGGCTCAGCCAAGTTTAGAGGTGCTGATGGTGCTCGGCTCTGCCATGCTGAATGCAAGCCTTGGTTGGCTGGTAAAGCTCGCTGGATTATCTTTCCTCATGGTTTCTGTCTTCCTTGTCTGTCCTTTGCCATCTAAAATACTCTGATAGTTTTTCCTTGGCTCCTTGCTATTCTCTATGTCTTCACCTCTGATTGCCTTTGGTGTGCACACATAAACCCAGGCAGCTGGATATATATAAGTTTTCTAACTGTCATCTAGCTTCCTGTCTTCTGTATTTTCCTTGGCCATTGCCATAGTCACTACCAGAGCTTTGTGTTGGACACCTTGCTTTTTCTAGTTACTCTCCATCTTTCTCATCCAAGGCTGCCAGAAAAATTTCTTCTTGCAGTGCAGGATATTGAATCTAGGGCCTCATGCAAGCTACACAAGCACTCTACCACTGACCTAAACTCCTAGTCCCAGAGAGATGTTTTTTAAGGCAAATATTAATGTATCCACTTGCTTAAAATCTTGGCGCACTCCATGAAGCTGTCATCATAACAGTGTGCAAAGTGCTTGGCTTGCTGTACAGAGTCCCCAGCCTCCCTGTGCTCCTCTCCAGGAGCGCCTGTGTTGTGCCGGGCCTGCACATCTTTGCCTGAGTAGGAGGAGCCTGAGAGGAGGAGCTCACTGCATTCGTATTGTAAGGAAGGAAGGTGCTGATCCTTGCCATCAGCATTATCTGTCACCTTTTCTTTTTGATAATTTTTTATTGATACATTTTAGATATACATAGTGATAATATTCATCAGGGAATTTGTTTTCTTTTTAATTTTTTATTTTATTGGCATACTTTATATATGCATAATGATAACATTCATCATGGAGAATTTGCACCTGTAAGTGGTATATCTTTTTCTTTTTTTCCCCATTCCTCTTCTCTCCCTTCAATCCCACTTCCCCTCTTTATTTACAAAAGATATGTTTCCATTTTTCCCTTCTATCCTTTTTTTCTTGCCTCTTCCTTCCTTTCCCCCTCCCCCTCCTTGTTCCCCTTTCCATTTGAGACTGTTCTTCCTATCTCCCAGTATCTACTTTACATTTTGGTCCTTAGTTACACTTTTGATTTCTCACATCACAGAAACAATGTGGTATTTAAACATGTGTACAATTCATTTCTCTTTAGAGTATGATGTCAAGGTGCATCCATTTAGTTAGAAATGTCTCAAGTGTATCCTTCTTTGTGGCAGAGTAGTACTCCAGGGCAAGAAAAAAAAACACATCTTTGTCCATTCATTAGTTTATGGGCATTTGGGCTGCTTCAAGATTTGGCTATTACAAACTGTGCTGCTATAAACATGGGTGTGCATATATCACTGTGGTCTGAAGCTGTTAATTCTTTCGAAAAGATACCAAGAAGGAACGGAACCTCTAATTTTAGTTGTTTGATTTGTTTTAGTTAGTTGAGTTGTGTGAGGAATCTCCACACTGATTTCCACAGTGGATGCACCAGTCTGCACTCACACCAACAGTGGAGAAGGCTTCCTTTTTTCCCCACAGCCCTGCTAGCATTTGTTATTGGTTGATTTCTTGATAGCAGCCATTCTTCCTGGAGTGAGATAGAACCTCAGCATTATTTAAGTTTGCATCTCTTGAATGACCAATGATGTTGAACATTTTTTCATGTATTTATTTGCCATTTCTAACTCTTTATCTGAAAAGCCTATTCATTTCAGAAGTTTTCCATGTAAAGGTCTTTTACTTCCTTTGTTGAACTGATTCTTTCTTCCTTCCTTCCTTCCTTCCTTCCTTCCTTCCTTCCTTCCATCCATCCATCCATCAAGCTTGGGATCTTGTGCTTAAAAGGCAGAGTCTTCTGCATCTACTCCTGTAATCCCAGAATTCAGGAGGCTGAGGCAGGAGGATCGCTGTGAGTTTGAGACCAGCCTGAGCTACATAGTGAGTTCCGGGTCATTCTCAACTACATAGTGAGACCCTGTCTCAAAAAAAAATTTTTTTTCTCTCCAGTCTGTTGTCACTTCCCCCTCCACATACATTCACCCTAACCAAGTTCATCCATGATCCTCAGTGACCGATGTCCAAAGTCGTGCAACTTGACCTATTAGCAGCATTTGACATTGTCCATTACTCATTTCCACTTGAAGACCTTTTCCCCCAAGTTGCCAGTATATGTTATTCTCATAGTTTTTCTACTGTGTCTCTGCAGAGTGAAGGGCAGTAAATTACTTTGTGCTAAGTCATTCCTGTTAAGCTTATGAGAAATCCTGGCCCAGGCAGTGGTACATATGTGTACAATTAGAATTCTGAACGTAGTAACAAGGGGCTCTGGTCTCTTCTCCCTAAAATCTCATTTGTGGTCCCTATAGAGGGAGCAGCCAAAGAGGTGAGAGGAAAGGCAGCTGAGTGCGGTGCTATTAGCATCCCACGAAGGAAGAAGTGGCCAGTGTTGTCTTGAGTCGAGCAGTGTGGGGCCAGCCCTGTGCATTGGGCTTTACCAGGGAGACATATAGTGGTGAGGTGGTGAGGGTAGAGTTCAGGCAGCCTGGACTGGGGCACAGGGAGGTGAGGAGCAGAGCCGGGAATTACTATGATTTCCTGTTGTGATAACCTTGTAATCTTCATCTTTGGCCATGCAGAGGGTGTTAGAGAAAGCCCAGATCAGTATGCAGAATTCTGCTTCTAAAGCACAGGGAGGAGGGAGGAATGGCTAGAGGGTATGAAGAAGGAAAGCAGGGTTGGTGTTGGTTTTGCTGAAACTAGAGTCACTTTTGGTGTCAAGGTAGGAGCTAGTAGTAAGAAATTGGAGATCCAAGAGTGTAGAGGAGAGCAGTTGGTAATTGATGAGATGAGGTGGGACTACGTGGACTCAGAGCACAGAGCTGAGACAGAAGCCGGGAGGCAGACTGGATAGGAAGGTGGAAAACTGCAGTGCTGTGGTCTTAGGGCCATGAGGGCGGAAGACTGGGACTTTGCCAAAGGCAGCACCCACACTGCTCATATGATAGGCAAAATGCTTTCTGGAGGGTGGAAAAGAGGGCTTGGAGTGAGAAGGAAGAGGGCCAGTGTTGAAACTCAAATGGGGCATGACATGGAACTGGACGTCGCAGTGGCGTTTGCTGTAGGTGTGAGAGAATTGGAGGAGGTGGGTGGTGTAGATGTGACCTGTGTAGAAAGGGGACTGGCACACTTAAACTAGGTTTAGTGATATTCTAATATCAGGTTTACTGATATTCTTACTTGATTATTTTTGGTATTGTTTTAATTTTAGTCTTTTTTAAAAATTAATTTTATTGGTACATTTAATGTATACAGTATAATGACATTCATTGTTGGAAATTTTTACCTTTACATAATTAATCTTGGTTAATCTTAGTCTTTAAACAAATCAATGAATATTTCTCTTCAGTAGCTTTCTAGTGAATAAAAAGACTCACCTGAAGGACTCTTTTTTCCTTACTTTCTGATTTGTTCTCATCCTTTTTATTGTTTTCTGTAAATTTTACACTCTGAGTAACTGATCATTAAATGGAATGCTGAGGGAGGAAGTGTCAGCAGTTTGTGTAAGTATTGGTTGAGATAAATGACACGGGGTATTATTTTTTCCCCTTTGCTTTCCCTTTAATTGCTTTATATAAAAATGAACTCTGGTGTGAATTTCTTGTCTCTAAAAACATTTTATCTAGAAACATTTTATATACTGGATATTATCAGGAATATGAACTCTACTATTTAATAACTTCTATAGATAAAATCTGTAGTTTTGAGAAGTAAAATTTACCTCCTCATTTGGTGTTTGCAGGAAATTCACAGTCAGGACACTCCTCTCAAGAAACATCAAGTTGTCCCCAATACCCAGTCCCTTCCAGTAATAGGCAAGGTGACAGAAAACGAGATACTGGCAAAAGCTTCTAGTACTGAACGTACAGGTCAGTGTTGCATTTCTGTTTCACTTAAAATGTAGCTTCTGGTTTACCAAAGATTCAAAAACTGGATTGGAGAGCAGAAATGCTGCATCCAGAGCAAAAGACAGGTCTGTTTCATTGCTTTTCCTTTTTTTTTTTTTGTACCGGGGATCAAACTCACATCCTTGCACTTGCAAGACAGGAGGCAGAACCACTGAGCTAAATCCCCGGCTTGCTTTGCATTTTTGACATTGCTGTGTAGTTCTCCACTTCTCATTCCAGAGTGAGAACATGTGTATGTACTCTTGATGAGGGTAATAAAAACTCTTTTTGTTGTTGTTGTTTTGTTTTTTTTAGACAGGGTCTCACTATGTAGTTGAGACTGACCTAGAACTCACTATGTAGCCCTGGCTGTTCTCAAACTCACAGCCGTACTCCTGCCTCAGCCTCCCAAGTGCTGGGATTACAGGTGTGAGCCACCACGCCCGGCTAAAAACTCTTTTTGAAGAAACATTCAATTATATCTATGGAGTTGCCCTTTAATTCATCTTTTCTGCAAGTGTTCTTCAAACACTTCTGGGATGAATTCCTGAACTTTGCAGAGATATATGTACAAAGACATCCATTGCACACTGCTTGCAATGGTAATGAGACTTAGTGACCCAAGTGCCAATCAAAAGACTGTTAATGACCAGGGATTTAGCTCAGTGGTGCCACTGCCTGCCTTGAAAGTACGAAGTCCTGAGTTTGATCCCTGGTACCAAAAAAAAAAAAAGGACTTAAATTATGCAGCATCCATGTAATCAGATAATATGTAGCTGCCTAGAAGAAGGTAGTTTTGTAATGTTTAACTCATTCTTTTTATTTATTTATTTATTTGGCGTTTTGAGACAGAGTCTCACTATGTAGTTGTGACTGAACTGGAACTCACTATGTAGCCCAGGCTGGCCTCGAACTCACAGCGATCCTCCTGCCTCAGCCTCCCTTGTGCTGGGATTACAGGCATGCGCCACCACACCTGGCTAACTAATTATACTTTTAATATTTTCATTTTATTTTTAAAATTTGAGGTAAAAGCACATTATATCAAATTTACCAACTTAACTATTTTAAAGTGCATATTTCATTATTGTTAAGTATATTTGTATATCGTGAAATAGATCTTTAGAACTTTTTTATCTTGCCAAAGTGAAGCTATGTCCATGAAACAACAATTCTGTATTTCTTTTTCCACCTCCTCCAGCCCTTAGTAACCACATTCTGCTTCCTGTTCTATGCATTTGACTACATTAGACACTTCATTTAAGTGGAACCATGCATGTCACACTCACTTATCCCTAGGTACATGTCCCAAGACCCCCAGTGGGCGTCTGAAATCATGTGGTACTGTCCATATATTATAAACTGCATTCCACATAAACTGCTTCTGTCTTCTATGCCCAGCAGCATTGCTGCGTGGTACCAGAGTTAATTTGTCCTTCCATGTTCTGTGTCCTGCCATCATCTTTGCATCACTCTCTAGCCCTTTGGGACCACTGTTCATTGAGGGAAGGGTTACTTGCACTCACTTGACTAAAGCTCTGGTGTGTTTACAGGGCGATGCCCTAGACAAAAGAATGACTCACATCCCTGGCCTGGAGCTAGATGCAGTGGGAAGGCCTGCAACTTTACCATGCTGCACAGAGTGCACTTGAGAACTTATTGCTTATTTCTGGGATTTTTCTATGAAATGTTTTTGGGCTGCGGTCGCCTGTAAGTAACTGAACCTGTGGAAGCACTCAGTGAGAGGGATTACTACAGTTTTTGTCTTTTTGTGACTGGCCTGTTTCATTTACATAATGTCCTTATGGTTTACCATGGTGTGGTATGTGATGGCACTGCCTTTCCAGGCCAGTTAACTTTCCATTGTGTGTATGTGTGTATATCACATTTTGCTTATTCATCCTCTGCATTTGCCTGAGCGTGAATATGCAAATATCTCTGCTATTTCAGATTTTTCAGATAAATATTAGAAAAGGGATTGGTGGATCATATGGTAGTTTCATTTTTAATGTTTTGAGGATCTGTCTTTTTTTGTATTAGAAATTGAACTGAAGATCTTTATACTGAGCTACATTACTAGTGCTTTTTGAGTTTTTGATTTTAAAAAATGTAATTAATTTTTTTGTTTGATTTTTTTTGAGACAAGGTCTCACTATGTAGTTTAGGCTGGCCTTGAACTCACTGTTGCCCAGGCTGGCCTTGAACTTGGGGCAATCGTCCTGCCTCAGCCTCCTAAGTACTGGGATTTCAGGCATGTGCCACAATACCAGGCTTCTGATTTTTAAATTTTGAGACAGGAGCTTGCTAAGTTGCCCAGGTGGGACTTGAACTTAATGATCCTCCCATCTCATGTCTCAGCCTGCTAAAGTGCTGAGATTACAGACATAGGCCATTGTGCCTGGCTCCACCATGCTGCTTTCGGCAGTGGTTGACACCATTTTACACTCCTACCAGCAGTGCCCAAAGATTCAGATTTTTCCGTTGCTTACCAGCACTTTATCTCTGTTGTTTTATTTATTTACTTTTTAGAAAGTAACTATGTGTCTTAGTTATGTTTCTTTAAATATAGATGTTGAACATCCTGTTATGTACCTTTTTGGTATTTCTATATCTTTTTTTGGAGAAGTATCTAAGCCCCCTCCCCTTTTGACCAGGGATCAAACTCAGGACCTTGTGCTTGTGAGGCAGGTGGCAGCACCACTGAGCTAAATCCCTGGCCTCCTTTGCCTGTTTTTTAACCACTGAATTTAGGAGTTCTGTAGTTTCTAGATATTAACTTCTTTAGAGAGATCTGATTTATAAACATTTTTCCTATTCTGTATGATGTTTTTTCATGTTGAGTGTGCCTTTTGATACATCCCTAGTTTTTAAAGTTTCATGTAATCTCATTTGTCTATTTTTCTTTTGGTGATTTTTACTTTTGGTTTCATATCCAATAGATTATCATAAAATCCAGTGTCATGAGGTTTTCTCCTATTTTCTTTTGAGTTTTTATAGTTTTGGGTTTTACATTTAGGTCATTGCTTTAATTTGCCTTAGTTTTTATGTATGGTAAAAGGAAAGAGTCCAATTTTCTTGTTTGCATCAGAATATCCAGTTTTCCAAGCATCATTTGTTAAAGAGACCATTCTTTTTCCTTTGGATCAGCCTTATGCCCTTATTGAAGATGATTTGACCATATTAGTGACGGTTTATTTCCAGGCTTTCTATTCTGTTCCATTGATCTATGTTTGTCTTTATGCCAGTACTAAACTCTGTGGATTACTCTAGCTTTGTAATAAGTTTTGAAATCAAGAAGGTGAGCCCTTTGTGTTCTTTTTAAAAAGTGTTTTGAATATTCAGGGTCCTTTTAAGTTCTATTTTGGATTTTAGGATGATTTTGCTTTAGGATAAAATTGCTTTTGGGATGTTGATAGGAATTGTTATATCTGTAGATTACGTGGGTAATATCAATATCTTAGTAAGATTAAGTTTTCTATCTATGAGCATCGGCATCTTTTTTTCTTTTTGTTTTTTGTTTTTTTGGTATCAGGGATTGAACTCAGAATCTTGCACTTGTGAGACAGGCAGAGGAACCACTGATCTAAATCTCCAGCCCTTTCTATTTGTATTTTAATTCCTTTTAGCAGTTCTTTATAGTTCCCAAGATCCAAATGTTGTAGCTCCTTGATTAGGTTCATTCCTAAGTTTCTTATTCTTTTTGGTATTATTGTAAATGGAAGTGTTTTCAAAATTTTCCTTTCAGATGGTTCATCGTTAATGTATAGATTTGCAACTGATTTTTTCCCCCCAGTACTGAGTTTCAAATCCTGGCCATTGTGTATCCCAGGCTGGTCTCAGACTTAAAGCGATCCTTCTGCCTTGCCCTTGCAAGTGCTGGGGTTACAGGTGTGCATTACCAAGTCTGGCCTATGTGGTCCTTTTTCATTTTTGTTTTGAAGTAGAGTCTCACTAAATTGTTCAGACTGGTGTTGAACTTGAAATCATTCTGCCATAGCTTCCTGAAGACCTGGGATTATAGGCATGTACCACTGAACTTACTCAATTGATTTTTATGTAGTGATTTTATATTTTATAACTTTGCTGAATTTATTTTAACAAGTTCTTTTTTGTACAATCCATAGAATTTTCACCATATTAGATCATGTCATCTGTAAACAGAGATAAATATTCTCCATTTCTAATTGAATACCTTTATTCATTTTTCTTGCCTAATTGATTTGGCTAGGACTTTGAGTGTTATGTTGAATGGAAATAGGAGGAGCTGGAATGTTTGCTTTGTTCTTGATCATAGAGAAAAAGCTTTTAATGTTTCACTATAGCGATTAATGTTAGCTGAGGGTGTCACCCCACCACTGGGGATCAGACTCAGGATGTTGCACTTGCAAGGCAGGCACAGCACCACTGAGCTAAATCCCTAGCCCTAAGAGTTTTTCATATACGGTCTTTTATATTTGGGTTGTCTCTTTCTAGTCCTAGTTTTTAAGCAATTTTATTGCTACTTTTTAAAGTTAAAAACTATTGCAGAGCACTTTGTATGTGATATGATCACCTTCTGATAAAAGGATATATATCTATGTATACCTAGGGGGAAAATGGAAAAACCATGATTTGATAATATTAGTATCCCCCTGCTCATTCAGTAGGAAAGGAGATAGAAATTTAAAAGAGGACAGCTGGGAATGACATGTGCCTGTAGTCCTAGTTGCTTGGGAGGCTGAGGCAAAGGAGCACTTGAGCCCAGGGGTTTGCGGCCAGCCTAGGCAACATAGCGAGACCCCCATATTTAGAGAGAAAAGGAAAGAGACAGAGACAGAAAGAAAGAGGTCACAAGTGTTTTGGTGGTTTTCTATATATTTCTAGGTTTGAATTTTTTAAACAGTTGCATTGTTTTATAATGAAAATATGTGTTGCCTTAATTTAAAAATTCTAGGTTATTGTATATACTAATATAGTATTTGTTAATTTTTTTCTTTTAGGTTTTCCTGAATGCAACATGACAAAGTCTAGTCCTTTGAAAATAACATTGTTTTTAGAAGAGGAAAAGCCCTTGAAAATGACATCAGACCCAAAAGTTGAACAGCAGACTGGTTCGTTTTTACTCTCTATTTCTTACTAGTGTTTGACACTCTTTATATTAGACCCTCATCAACACACACACACACACACACACACACACACACACACACACACAAGTATCTTATGCTTTTATATTTAGTAACACTTCTTCTTTTTTGGTAGAGCTGGGATGGAAACCAGGGCACTGTGCAAGAGCTGTTCCCCTGAGCCACACCCCCAGCCCATAGCTAGGAAATACTCTGCCTGGAATAGTCTGTGCACAGTTATGGCTGGGTCACAGACCCTGAGGCATCTGGATGGGACTGTCACTGATTTTCATGGCAAGAGGACGTGTACTGCCTCCCATGTGCCTTTTCTGCCTAAGGGGAGGGCTGGTAGCTCCTGTAGCTTCTGTGTAAACCCTGCCGTGCATGACCTGGGCTCCGGACAATGACGAAAAATAATTATTTGAAAGAACATTTTTTGAAAGTTGGGATTTTTTTGCTAATTATGCTTCAATTTGAGTTCTCTCTCTTTTTTTAAGAGTAGGAAAAATTTATTGCGAGAAAGATAGTTTCTGTCTCAGAGAGACAGAAGGAGAACTGGAAAATGGATTGGCTGCTTACCAACTTCTCAAAGGTGTTTTGTGGGACAAAGCCACTAAGTGAGGCGGGTTCAAAGTGGGACTAAACTATAGTCAACTAGTGAGATTGCAAGTATAGTTGCTTAGGTAATATTGATCCAGTGAGAAATCACAGGGTGGACAAAACTATGAACAACCAATAAGGTTATGACAAATAATAGTCACTTAGGTATTGATTAAATGGGGATCCAGTGGGGAAACAAGTCATGCAGCAAGCATACAAGGAATGAGCAAGGAGTTTTGGTGGTGAGGGGTGCGTCAGGGATCTTTCTTGGAAGATCTTGATCCTGACCCAAGTGATTGATACCTATTTAGAATATCAATCATTGCTATTCATGCTATGCTTGTGTGGTGGTTTCCTCTTTTACAATGCTGACTTTCTGTGAATGTGTCTTAAATGTCCTCCATGTTGGCTCCTTTATGTCCTTATTTACTACTCTTTCTTAAATCCAAACTATGGAATCAGCTTTTGATAGAGCCAGCCATCATTTCTTAGAAAATGTGTTTGGAACTTTGAAAAGTATCTTGGTTTCATATATGAATAGTAGTTTAGCTTTTGTTGTTTAGGAAATGCTTTTGTTTTGTTTCTTGCTTATTTAAGTATGTAAGTATAAAGCATTCTTTGCTCTCCCTTTAATTCTTTTGTTGTTGTTGTTGTTGTACCAGGGATCGAACTTGGGACCTTGTGCTTGCAAGTCAGGCAGGGGCACCACTGAGCTAAATCCCCAGCCCTCTCCCTTTGATTCTTAAGGGCCCAAATCCCAGTGTCCACTCACTGAAATGTTTTTCAGAAGTGGTTCAGGAGATTGAGATGAGTGTGGATGATGAAGTCGAAGATATCAACAGTTCAAAAGTGATTAATGACCTCTTCAGTGACGTCCTTGAAGGAGGTGACCTGGATGTGGAAAGGAACCAAGAGGAGATGGATCAGATGCTAGCAGGAGGAGGCGAGGAGCAAGAAGATGCGCTTAACATCTCCTCCATGTCTTTACTTGCGCCCTTGGCACAGACAGTTGGTGTAAGTCCAGAGGTAAGAAGACAAGGACAGGCCTGTGACAAACGTAAACTGAGTAATAATGAGGCCCTTCCTTTTGTTGGTAGATGGATTCTTGATATTCTGTAGCCAGAATGATTTTGGAAACCTAATGAAAATTCTTTTAAGAGGGAGCTTGCAACTCCTTAGCAGTTTCCTGTGGCCCTTAGACAAAATCCACACTGTAATGTGCCTTAAAATGGCAGGTGCTCAGGCTCAAATCCTGGCTTTGACATTGATCCCCTCTCTGCCATGGTTCCCTTATTTGTTCTCTGAGGTTGACAGTAGTACCCACATCGCAGGGTTCGTGTGAACATTAAGTCGTGCTAGCGTGCCGGTACTTAGCACCAGACACACAGGTGACATGCAGTGAGAGCTGAGTGCTGTCATTCACTGTCACCCTGCAGCTCTAGAGATTGATTCACTTTAGAGTTACCTGTATAAGTTTCAGCTGACATATACTTTAATTTATCTTTTTTTTAATTTTTATTTTTTGGAGACAGGATCTTACTTTGTAGTTCAGGCTGGCCTTGAACTCACCATGTAGCCATGCTGGCCTCGAACTCATGACAGTCCTCTTGCTTTGGCCTCCCAGAGTGCTGGGATTACAGGCATGCACCACCATATCCAGCCTTACTCATTCTTTTTTTTTTTTGGTTTTTTGAGACAGGGTCTCACTAAATAGTTGAGACTGATCTGGAACTCACTATGTAGCCCAGGCTGGTCTCGAACTCACAGCAGTCCTCCTGCCTCAGCCTCCTGAGTGCTGAGATTACAGGCGTGCGCCACTGTGCCTGGCCTTACTTATTCTTTTAAAGGGATTTATTTTGGTTTGCTTTGTTTCTATGATGAATCAATTGACTTACTGGGTATTTATTTTCTAATAAAGGAGGAGAATTCATTTATTTTCTTGAAATAAATTAGCATTTTGAGTCACTGTTAATTATCCATACACTGTTCTGATATCTGATGTACTTTCCTGCAGAGTTTTGTTTCCTCACCGAAGTTGGCATTGAAGGACACTAGTGGAAGTGATGAAAGTCCCAAACCAGGAAAATTCCAGAGAACTTGTGTCCCTCGAGCCGAGTCTGGGGATAGCATTGGCTCTGAAAATCATGATCTTCTTTATAGGTAAGGGCATTTGGGATAGTTCGATTAGGGACATGGTTTGAATTGGTGTTACAGTTCGTAGTTTTAATGTTAATAACTTGTCTGTATAAAAGTTTGGAATAACTTTTGTTAGCCTCTCTTTGACCAAATGAAATTTCCTTTCTGGTGAAATAGTCTGCTGTTTGTTTGGTATTAATGCTAAATTCTGCTGATACATGTAGTAAGTAGTGCTCAGTGTGTTGCTGTGTCTCTCAAGTATGATTTTTTTTTTTTCTCCCTGAAGCATCGACGCATATAGGTCTCAAAGAATCAAGGAAACAGAGCGTCCTTCAATAAAGCAAGTGATTGTTCGGAAGGAAGATGTTACTTCAAAGTTGGATGAAAAGAAGAACACCTTTTCTTGTCAAGTTAACATGAAACAGAAAATGGAGGTATGGCTTCTGTGGAGAGGAGACTGGACGTGTTTCTTGTACTACATTGGGAGCTCTTTAAGAGTGAAGACCTAGCTCTGTTTATCTGTGTACCCTCAGTGACTACAGCAGTACTGACTCATGGAGCTCACTAAGTCACTCTTAAATTCAGTTTAATTTCAGAGAGAACTGAGAAGCTTATTTTATGTTGCTGAACATTTTTCAAAGGGATGGGATACTGGGATTGAGCCCAGAGGTTTTGGTAGTCTGATCTACACCTCCAGTCCCTGCCATACACCTGTTAAGTATAACTCTTCATTAGATCATAGTGAAGTCTGAAATTCATGGTATTTTTTGACTTTTTAAATGCTAGGAAAGCATTTTTTTCAAGAGCAACATAATTATAATTTAAATAAGTTGAATCAGATGCTTTCTAAATTTCTACCTTGTTAGATGTAGCCCCAGTTATAATTTTAATTAGTATGACTTGGAAGTTACTTCATAGGGAAGATTTAAAGTATAATTATTATACTGTATTCAGTGTTTTGGTGTATAATTTAGAAACTTGAACAGTGAAATTAATTTATTTTTCACAACTGGGGATTGAACACAGGGCTTTCACACTGAGCTGCATTCCCTTTTTTTATTTTTTATTTTGAGATAAGGTCTTGCTAAGTTTATAAGTTGCTAGTCTGGGCTCAAACTTGTGATCCTTCTGCCTCAGCTTCCTAGAGTGCTGGGATTACAGGTGTGCACCATATGCCTGGTTGGAATTAATATTTTGACTTTATTCTCTGGAAAAACTTGAAATTATCCAATCAGATGAATTAGAATTGAAGTTTAAATGAAGTGGAAATGATAATTTCAGTATGCCCACTTCTTCCTCTCATTGGTTTCATTAGGAGCTCAATAATGAAATAAATTTGCAGCAGACAGTGATTTATCAAGCGAGCCAGGCTCTTAACTGCTGTGTTGACGAAGAGCACGGGAAGGGGTCCCTGGAAGAAGCTGAAGCGGAGAGACTGCTTCTGATCGCAAGTAAGTGCAAATAATCATACCTGAAACTTTTCTAGTAGAATTTCCAGCAAGGGAAAACTCATCTCCTGTGGTTTGTTCAGAAATCTCTGATTTGAGAGGAAGGATTTTCTCTGATCAGACTCTTTTTTGATCTAGTTCTTGTTTCTTGTATTTAGAAAGTTTGTGAAAAATAAGACGTAAAGTGTGGTTTGCATCAAAGGTGAAAGCAACTGGAATGCACCTGAAGACAGTCATTGAATACACACAATACGCAACACACAAGACACATACACACCACACATGTACTCTGTCTGTGTCTCCCTTTCTCTTCCTATCAACTTAGGTATAGATAAAACAAGTAATGTGGATTTGGGAGAGGGGGGAGAGAGGAGAGCAGGAGGAGAGAGGTGTGCTTGGCAGAAAGATGCTGCTGCTCAGAAAAAGTAGCTGGAAGCTGAAGTACTAAATTATAAACACGCACAGTGCAGGTTTTACCCAGTACCTCCCACCTGGTGCACAAAAACAGTGATTTTTCTCCTTGGTTTTGTTATACATTTGCCCTGTCAGTGTAGTTTCTTGAATTGGCTTTCATTCATAAGGAGTTTGCATTTGATTTTATTTTTGTGATGCTTAGACTGTAATCCGGGACCTCAAGCATGCTAGACAAGCCACTAAGCTATATCTATATAGCACACCGATGAAATTTTGATATTTAGCATATTCACTTTCATGTTTTTACATAGCTGAGAAGAGGACACTTTTGATTGATGAGTTGAATAAACTGAAGAGTGAAGGCCCTCAAAGGAGGAAGAAGGCAGGTGCCGCAGCCCAAAATGGATTTGTCGCATCCACAGGCTCAGTGACTTTGTCTGAAATTCGCTTGCCTTTGAAAGCAGATTTTGTCTGTGGGATGGCTCAGAAATCTGGTATGGTGATGTCCATTTGCATTATTTCTAGATTACATGTTAAGTTATGAACTTCATCTATATTGGATTTGTATGAGAAAGTTACAAGAAGAACTTACGTAAAGATGCAAAGCAAGTAAGGCTAAACATAATTTTGAGCATAAAATCTTTTCCTGAGATGAATTATCCTAATAGAATAGACCGCTTGACTTCACTAATTAATTTTACTGTAGAAATTAACTGTTGCATTTAAAAGAACTCATTTACTCTACTTAAAAATGCACCCCAGTCCATAGAGAAATTTGTTCTACAAATTCTGAACCACTAGTTGTGGATGATGAGCACCTTATTGAAGATATTTCTGTTGAAATTTTATTCCGTTTGCCTTGCTGGATTGAATAATCACAGTAAAAGTACACATTCTATTAAAATTATATCTACTTCTAAAAAGTGTTTATTAGTGTATGTTTGCAGTACATATTAGATATGTACATTTATCCTGGCGAATTGGTGCCTGTACATAATCATGTATAGATCCTTTTTACTTCCCCTCCCCACCCTCCTGTTTTCCCTAAAAGTCTCTTTTTTTTTGTATGTGGTACCGGGGTAAAAGTCTCATCTTTGCCAGTGGATACAGGGGAACCCAATAGCAAAATCTCAAACACAGCAGGGTAATTCTACTAAGCTTAAGAAAATTACAGTTGTATTACATATTGGTAAGGCTTTTTTTTTTTTAGGTTCTTTTAAGTTTTTATTGTAGAGCTTTCTCTTTGTGGGAAAGCAAAGTCAGCTGTGAGTGACTTTGAGGCTCAGGGAAGGCAAAGAATGGAACGTTATTGTAGGAATAGCTAACTTAAGTTGTAGTCATTGCTATTAACTCATTTCAGTGAAGTATAAGCAGAAAATGTGTACCTTGAGAATAGGTGGCTATTTAATGACAGTGAAACTTACCACTAGATAACTTTCATGGTATTTTAATCTCAGTTTTGAAAACAAAAATCATAATTTCCCCTTTGGAAGTGAATATTAGGGTTATTGAGTTAAATTCAAAGTTAGTAGAAAATGAGAAGTTAAGGAAAGACCTTGATGACATTTTTTCAGGATTATAGCTATCAGATTACATCTAATTTAGCTTTTTGTTTGTGGAAACTTGATTTTAGTAACTTTAAATATAAATTTTATATAAACTTATTGCAATATGACTGTTCCTTTGGTAGTTCAAAACACTAATCAGTTAAATATGATTTTGCTTGTGCTAATTATGTAACTGATCACTTCTTGCAGATGCAGCCAATTATTATTATTTAATTATGCTAAAAGCAGGAGCTGAAAATATGGTAGCCACACCATTAGCAAGCGCTTCAAACTCTCTTAATGGCGATGCTCTGACATTCATGACTACATATACTCTGTGAGTAATTAGGCTTTTAGTGGTTCAGAGACTAGTTTTGTTTAAACAGTTAACACAGTCTGATACTGGTGACATTTATCTATATATTGTGGTGCTGGGCATCGAGTCCATAATCTGATCAAATCTTGCTAAGCATGTGCTTAACCACTTAGTCCTTTTTTAGTTTTTGAGACAAGGTCTGGTTATGTGGTCCAGGCTGCCTAGAATTTATTTTGCAGCCCGGGCTGGCCTTGAACTTTCACAATCTTATATATTTCTGACTCCTGGGAGCTATGTGTTCATTGTTTTTTTATGTGGATAAATAACTCAGTTTTCAAGTTTTTCATTTAGCTTTTATGTGTTTTTTATGTTGTCTTCCATTGTATAGCTTTTCTTCCATGTGACTATAGATATTTAATACATTGAAGTATTATATTAAATGTGGACCATAATTTTTATATATGCTTTCAGTCTAATAATGCACTTAATATTCAGTCCTAGTAAAAATATTTTTTTTGATGCCAAGCATTTATTGGTACATTTTAGATGTACATAATGATAACATTCATCATGGGGAATTTGTACCTGTACGTGATAAAAATATATTTATTTTTAATATTACAGATTTATTTAGGAACTACATAGTAAAAACCAATTTTTAAAAAATGCTACTTTTTCTTTCATTGTTTTGTTTTGTTTGTTTGTTTGTTTTGGGGGGGACCGGGATTGAATCAGGTCCTTGCGCTTGCAAGGCAGGCGGTGGAACCACTGAGCTAAATCCCTGGCCCCCCACAAAAAATGCTATTTTTGAAGCTCTTGAATTATAAAAGACTGAAAAAATATATGCCTTTTTAAAAATATAGACTATTCTTACCAGTTTTTATTGTTTTTAGTTAAAACTACAGTATATTTCTTTACTCTCAGAATCTTGTAATAGTATTTGCGGCCTTTTTAAGGGTATAACTTGAAGCTTTTCTTGGTATTTTATTTAATGCCTTTTATTTCCTAGACAAGATGTGTCCAATGACTTTGAAATAAATCTTGAAGTTTACAGCTTGGTAAGAATTTGTAATTTTCTAAAATAACCAATAGTATATTTTTTTTATTAATATCAGATTTTAAGGTGATTATAATTTGGGTTTGTGTGTAGGTACAAAAGAAAGATTCTTCAGGCCATGAGAAGAAGAAAAAAACATCCAAGTCCAAGGTGAGAATTACAGAAATCTAGTAAAAAATATAATAATATATAATAGATATCAGACTAATTTTAATTGTAATACTTTTTCTTACAACTTTTAATGATTATAAAGTCTTTAGATCAGCTTTACTGATTTCTACTTACTGCATTAAATAGGAGTGAATACTTGAAGGTGAATTCACACTGAGTCACTGTGATCCTGACTTTGATGCACTCAAGACAGAACATTCTGCTTTGCCTGCATTTACTTGGCAATTTCCATAACTTCTTAAACCTTGCTGTCCTCTGCCCTCTTGTCTCCCTTAGTTCTGTAAACCAGCGCACAACTACCTAGTTACTTGTGTAGAGTAAGCAGTAGAACTTCTTTAGTTTTTACCTTTCCAGTCATGTTTATTTTCCTAAGTCATCATTAAAGAATTTTTCTTTATTGCAAATTAATTTTGCTTAGAATAAAAATAAAAATAAAAATAAATTGACTTCAGCTTTAACCAAAAAGGAATAGCTTTATGGCTGTTAATTTTTGTTTCAGATTTTTGAGATAGGGCTTTGCTTTGTAGCCAAGGCTGGCCTTGATTACAAGCAGGTACCACCATGCCTGGCTAGCTATAGTTTTTTTTTTTTTCCAGTACCAAAGATTGAACTCAGGACCTTGAACTTGCAAGGCAGGCGTAGCGCCACTGAGCTAAATCTCTGGCCCAGAATAGTTTTATGAGAAAGTTTTGATAAGGGACTCAAGCCTGAACTATTCATATTTAGGATTTATTTGTGTATGTAGGACTATTTCAAAGTTAATTTTACACTCTGAATTATAGCATTTAATTGGAAACATGCTAATTTTTTTCTTCTAGGCTATTACTCCAAAGAGACTCCTTACATCTATAACCCCCGTAAGTAGAGTTTTTAAGAAGTTAAGCTTTTTTGAGAAATTTTCATCTTACACATCATATGATTATAAATTGGTTAATGAAATTTTTTTTTTTTTTTTGGTTTTTTGAGGCAGGGTTTCACTATGTAGTTGAGATTGACCTGGAACTCTATGTAGCCCAGGCTGGTCTCAAACTCACATTGATCCTCCTGCCTCAGCTTCCCAAGTGCTGGGATTAACAGGCATACACCACCACACCTGTCTGATTAATGAATTCTAAACCAATTATAAGTTGTCGATCTTTAAAATATACTAATAGGGAAAGAGATCCTTGACATTTATGTAGGAAAGATGTTTTCTGAAATGTCTTTGTCTTGTTAGAGTTTTGTTCTTGATATTTACATCTTCATATCAGATAAAAGAAGTAACTTATGTTTCTTTTCCATATTTTCTTTTAGAAAAGCAGCCTTCATTCTTCAGGTAAGTGGATCCTGAACTATTTAAAAGGTTTAGAATAAGGAAAAGAATTAAGCAATTGCATATATGTAAGGATGCATTCATATATATGTGGGCCACCTTGACTGAGTGTTTACCTTGGGCTGTTTTGAGATAATATTTTCTGTATGTCTTTTTTTTGAGACAGGGTCTCACTATGTAGTTGAGACTGACCTGGAACTCACTGTGTAGCCCAGGGTGGTCTTGAACTCACAGCGATCCTCCTGCCTCAGCCTCCTGAGTGCTGGGCTTACCGGCGTGTGCTACCACACCTGGCAGAATATGTTTTTTTTTTTAGTCACATATAAGGTTATTGGCCAGAATAGCATGCAGTCTGGTTGAACCTTCGTCAGGCACCAGGGCAAGCCACTCCATCACTGGATTCAGGCTGCAGCAGTCAGTCACATGGGGTACTTAGTTACCAGGCAATGCCAGCAGGGAGCAGTACTCCCCACCATGCTTCTCTTGTTCTGTGGACTGTTGTGGGCTGTTCACACTGTGGAGTTTACTTCTTTCCAGGGTACTTGTCATGACTGGCATTGTGTCATGCTGTAAAAGCTCTTTCTCATTTGCTGGGCATTGGGGTTCTGTGAGCCAGAAAAGCTCTTCTCTACATTGGCTTTAGGTCTTAAGGGAGATTAGGATGGAGCTGGTTTCTCTCATGTTCTTTGGGCTGTTGGCTTTTTCTCTGTGGCACAGAGAGTTACTAGGAAGACATGTACAGATTAGATCTCCACTGCTAATTATGTCACTCTGGACTGTGAGTAGTGATGAAGTCTCTTCTATATTTCTTAGTAAATTGCTTTTTATGTATTCATTTTTAGGTTCTGAGTCTTTAAGACACGTGCATTCCAAATATTAAGGAGTGCTTATACTTATGTAAAGACAACATTGTATATGCAGTGGGCCCTTGGGTTACAACTGGCCTGACATACATACAACTTGGGTTACAACGGGAATTTTAGTTTTAACTTAGGAACAAAGTCTTGAGTTTGACCCGAAGGCCAGCCACTGAGACCAGATGGTCTCAGATACAGATTTAACCCTAAAGAGTTCTGGAAGGAACATGACAGCGTCCTTTCTTGTGTAGGGTTAACTGAGAAATTCTGGTTCAGTGTCTCTCTAAGGATACTGAGATCTTCATGTATACAGGAGAGAGACTTTGAAAGCTGTGGAGAGGAGCCTGAGGCTCAGTTGACCAACCTGAGTTACAACCAGCCCTTGGGAATGAATTGAATTAAGTCAGGGTTCACTATAATTTTATTTCTTTAGGAAATATATTATTCTGTTCTCTCCCTTATTTAAAAATAGAGGAGAACGAGGCAGTTTTCTCTGTGGCAGTTTACTTTTACCCTATCGGTGTGTGGTGAGGAATGCTATTTGTACTTGTAAAAGTCACTGAACTAGATGTCATTGGCTCTTTCTTTACAGTTATGGCCAGTCCAGGAGGCCTCCACGCTGTGCGGACCAGCAACTTTGCCCTCGTTGGATCTTACACACTGTCATTATCATCTGTAGGAAGCACTAAGTTTGCTCTTGAAAAGGTATTTATTCTCAACTTTATGACTATGTTGTGTTATTTCTTGTAATTTTAGAAAAATTAGGTTAATGAAAATGCCATAATGCTTTCAAGTATTTGAAATCTCTCTATAATTAAGTGTTCTTAGAATTGCACATTTTTACTAGATCCAAAATACCTCAATGGTGTATATTTTTTGATGTTGAAAGTATTCTCTCATAGATCTTAATACTGTAGTTAGATCTTCAAAGTAAACTATTCTGGTTTATGCTCACTTCTTACTAAAGAAGCATTGCTTTTTACATTTTGATGTTAAATTTGTAGTTTTAAAACATAATAATTTCCCTGTTACAACCACTAGTATATTTTGAAATGAGCAATATATTATGGACTTAGCTTTGACAAGATGGGGAAAAAATAGATTAGTCTCTTAGGAAAAGTACTTTTGAATCTAAGGGACTTGTTTTCTGTCCTTCTTTTCCAAATTAAAAGCTTCAAAATTCAAATCTGTATTATATCACTATTGTTTTTTCACCATAATGTGATAAAATTATTCTTTTGAGTAGCCGACAAGACCATTTTTTTAATTAGCCTGTGTTTGTAGTACATAATTCTTATGTTCCTTGTATGGAGTTGGTGCATGCATATAACACAACATAATTCCCCATTTCATCCCCTTTCTACCCTCTCTTCCTCTCCTTCTGTCTCTTGATCCCCTTCCCATTTGGGAAACATCTATCTCCCTATTTCCTATCATTTTTTTTTTCTCAGTACTGGGAATCGAATTCAGGACCTTGTGCTTGCGAGGTGGGCGTGGTGCTGCTGAGCTAAATCCCTGGCCTTTATCTTTTTAAAAAGAAAATGAACTAGTGGCTAACTTTTTCTTGGGTTCAATTTTTGCTATATAATACAATAATTTTAAAAATATTAATTAAAAACATTTGAGTGATACAATAGTGGTGCATATTTATGTGGTTTACCATGATATTTTAGCATTCGTATATAGCATCTGTTGATTAATTCAGGGTAATTAGCATTTCCAGTCATCAGTCCTCTGCGGGGTGGGAGGGGCACGTTGAACCTGGGCCTCTTTGTTAGCAAGTGTTCTACCACTGAACTACATCTCCCAGCCCTTAAGATTTTATTGTGAGACAAGGTTTTGTTAAGTTGCCTAGGCTGCTTTGGATTTGTGATCCCCCTGCCTCAGCCTCCTGGGTAGCTGGGAATGTAGGTGTGTGCCATAGTGCTTGGCTTCTTTATTTATGTTTTAATCCTTTGAGCTCCTGGCTTCTAGTTCTTTATAAAATACAGTATATAGGAGGTTATTATGAACTGCTGAGCTGTGGAACACTAGTATATATTCCTTTTGTCTTGATACCTGTTATGTGTCTCTATCTCCTTTCCCTTAATTCTTTTTTTGAAGCAAAACATTTATTGGTACACTTTAGATATACATAATGATCACATTATCATAGGGAATTTGTACCTGACCATGATGTATTTCTTCTTCTTCTTCTTCTTTTTCTAGTACTGGGGATCAAACTCAGGACCTTGGGCTTGTCAGGCAGGCACAGCACCCCTGAGCCAAATTCCTAGCCCCTCTTGTTTCTTTTTTCCCATTCTTCACTTCCCTTAACTCAGCCTCTAGTAACCACTATTTTAAATGAAGATTGACTTTATCTAGCATCTACCAATGAGAGAAAACAGATACTTGGCTTTTGATACTTTATATTATTATAAGAGATATCTGTAGTCAGAATGTAGAGGTGAAAATGTATAAAAATTAGAAGGTCCAATTTTGAGTATTGTCCTGTTCATTGTTTATTATTTATTATGGAATTAGTCACTTTATTTCTCATCGATCTTGCTTTCCCAGTATAGAATCTTAGGTTAGTGTAAGGCAACCTAACTTTAAAATTTTATGAAATGTCTTCTTTTGTAGTTGATGGATAAAAAGCAGGCTATATTTGAAATTTTGACTGTTGTTAAACTGTAAATGTATTTTAATATGTTCATTTCTTTAAAAAAATTACATAACTTTAATTTAATTCAGGTCATTTAACAAATTGAGTGATCATGGGTCTTTTTTTTCTCGTCTTTTTTGTTTGTTTGTTTTAGATAAATTATGATGTAAAAGAGCAAGAGCTACTGGGCTATTTGTTCCAGGAAAAGGTTGCCATATTTTCTTTGCTTCAAATTAATTTGCTTAAAAATCAATCTTAATATTTAGTCTATCTGTCTTTATTTCACTAACTACTTTTGTGTTATTCTGAATAATTAAGGACATTATGAACAGTATGCTTTCTTTGGACTCTTTCAAAGGGAGATCTTTTCTTCTACTCTAAAATCGTTAAAACTTTGAAAATTTTTTTGGTTTTCGGGCATGTTTGGTATTTGGGTTTTTTTCTCTATGTAGTCTTCTGTTTTATAGTTCTTTAAACTTCTGTATTCACTTCAATATTGATTTTTTTCTGCGTATCAATGAGAATACCCAATTAGTAACTGTGTTTAAATTTATGACTTTTTATCTACTGAAAGAGTTATTGGTGGTGTTTTAAATGTATCGATTGGCTAATTGGAATATTGCTAAATGTATTTAACACTAAAATTATACTGAATATCAATATATTAGAAGACAAAATATTTAATATTCCTGTAAAGATCAGTTGCAAACATTCTGTGGTAATATAGAAATGCTAATTAACAAAGTGCTGAATAGTGTTTTATTTTAGATTCTTAAAAACAAGATTTGATATTTGAAAATTAGATAAACATAAAACCGGGCTCTATGACCTATATTTCTTGCTTAGTATTGTCACCTATCCAATTTTGACATATGTTAGTGAGCTAATTAATCTCTAAAATGAGATTTTAATGACATCTTAAATGTAAACTATTCTTTTGAAAAGTTTGGCTGCCATTTTAATTTGAAATGTCACACTTAAAAATTAATGTTGCTTTTCATTATTTTAATACTTCCTTTGAAATTTTAACTTAAATTCCTGATTGTATTATTGAGTGAAAAATCAAATCATTGAATTTCACTGATTGCCTTTTAGTGTCTTTCTGAGTCAAATACAATTTTGATACAAAATTTGTACCAAGTGAGATTTTGTGAGTGATTGGGAAGTAAATACTTATTCTAATAGCTTGTAGTTGATTTATTATAGCTAAGTTTAGCAGTTAAGTTGCTAGAAGGTTGTAGCTTCAACCTTCTGTACAAATATGTTCCTATTTAATTGACTTGGAGAGAGTAGATAGATCAGTTGTTTCCTACCAGAAGCTGTCAGAACAAGGGAGTGTTTGTTTTTCTTTTTTAAAAAACTTGTGTCTTGACCAGTAATATAATGGCCAGTGGGTTACAGAGTTACCTTGAGATCCCTTTCAGAATGGAATTTTTATGGAAGTTGACCCAGTGCAGATTTAAGGCACCATGAACAGTGGACTGCCTGCCACCTTATTTGAGTTCACATGTAGTCTAATGTAATCTGATTTTACGCCTCGCATCCTAGAATTTAAATGATGAATCTCAGTGAGCCACACTCTGAAACCCTTTCAAATAGGGAATTCAAAACAGGATTTATGGATAAAGAGAGAAGGATATATCAAAGCTCATCTTCTGAGTTAAAGGACCTCTTAGGTGTGTGTACTTTTTAGGAAGTAGAAGACAGTGTAAAAATTATTAGAACAAAAGTTATGAAGTAAAACAACCAGAGTTTCAGAATTTTGTGTCAGAGTTCCAGTGATTAGGCTTTCTGGTGTGTCTAAAGCCATCTATTGGCCTGTGTGATTAACAGCACTCTTTTCGCTCTAACATACGCCAGTGTATAATTGACTATACCACTCATTTAACTATCTTCTACATCTCTCAGTAATAATCATTAAAGTGCGAATGTCTTAAAAACAGTCCTTTGTTAAACAGATTAGGGTCTTAGCATTTTCATGCAAGTCTCCTGCTCAACAGGGAACAGTAGGCTTAACCTTCTCTTTCAGGGCCAGCTTCCAACCAAGATCACCAAGAATACTGCCCGTGTCCACAGCCATAGAGTGGGAGGGTTCATTTTCTCATCTTTCCGAGATGCTGTCTGCCAGCAGCAGTCTCTGGATTGTGGAGATCAAACTTCTCTCAAGCATGCAAGGGTGTTCCTCTAGCCTTCTTTTGTTAGTTTTTGTTTCATATATTTTAAAGCTGTGCTGTTAGTGCCCATAGTTTAAAATTGTTGTATTATCCTTATAGATTATTTATCTCTGATGGTTCTCTTCAGTCTGCGCTGTCTGACATTAATACAATCAAAATAACTTTTTATTATAATTAGTATTTGTGTAGTATCTTTTCTAGCCTTCATGTCCCATTTGTATTTGTATGTTTGAAATTTATGTCTCGTGAAATCTCATGGTCATATTTTGTACTCTAATTTGACAGTTTTTGTCTTTTTCATTGGAGTGTTTGGACCATTTACAGTTAATATACAAATGTGGTTGGGTTTAGTCTACCATAGGGGTGGGCACTCCACAGTCCTCAGACTAAGTCTACTGTGGCTTGCCTTTTGTTGTTAATTTTCAGAGTTTACATCTTCCCTTACTGTATTTGTCATAACTAGAGCCTCATTCATCTGTTTTGTTACTCCCTGTGCTATCAGTTCAGGGTATTCAGGTGGTTGATTGTCAGACTTTTCCACCTTGTTTCCCCCAGAATTTGCCTTGCGCCTTGCTTAGGTACCTTTTCATTTCTATTTTTGTTGTTGTTAGTGTTTTGGGTTTAATCCCTGGGTTGGTACTTCAGTATTGTATTTAGAACCCTTATGGAATGATTGCTTCTCAGAGGTGTCTTCCAGATATAGCCGGTCTTTAGGTTTTGAGTCTCTAATGACTCTTAGGCAGTCTCGTTTTCAGTATACCAGAAAGTATAACAACTACAGTGGTCTGGTGTGCCTTTAATGCAGAGATTTTCTTCACTTTTCCAGTGGGCTTTAGTTTTCATCAAGGAGTCTCAGAGAGGCCCTCTTTCTGCTGTTCACGTCTGCTCTACCTTCTGGAGCTCAGAACAAGGGCCTTTATGATAGATACCCTGTGCCTCTGCCTTGTGGATCCAGGTACCAGTGCAGCCCGGAGGCCAGAGGCAGGGATTTGGGGGGCACCGGGGTGGTGCTGCAGGCACCTGTGCAGCTCTGCATTTATCATAACTGAGGGGCCAATATTGGTATATTATTGTTAACTGAAGTTCAGCAGCTTGTGTCTGAACTAAAGTGTTTGAGACATAGCTCTGCACCTTTGTTGATGTATTGTCCATGGCTGCTTTCACACTCCAGTGACAGAGTTCGGTAGTTGTGACAAAGATCATGTGAACTACAAAGTCTAGAAGGCAAAATTGGTGCTTTAAAGAAAATTAGCCGGCTCCTGCTTGTTTTCTGTTTGTTTCATCTGTTTTGAATGGTTGTTTTTCTTTTTGCCTACTTATTTTGCTAATCCTGTTTATCCCCTCTGTTAGCTTTCAATTGATCCTCCGTGTATTCTTTTCATTAGTTGCTAACAATCACAGTGTGCACTGTAACCTGGTCAGTTCTACCTGAGATGGTGTGAGGCCACATCGAATGCCTTACACAAGGGCTGGTCTCTGACAAGGGTAGAATTCTTTGCCAAATGCTTCTGCTTGCAAATGGAGGCATTACTGTAATTTCTTTTTATCATAAGCCAGACCTAATCTCATGAAAGAGCAATAGCAGTAGAGCCTGAAATCTTTTTGGCCTATGGGCTGATCCTTTTGATATAATCAGAAGTCAAGCTTTGATTGGGCTTTGGTTAGTTTTGGTTCAACTTTTATTGCAAATGCATTGAGAATGAGGTCAGGTCCCCACTCCCCCCACCCCAGTACTGGGGATAGAACTCAGGCAGGTGGAGCACCACTGAGCTACATTTCCAGTCCAGGCCCTCACCTTTGAGTAGAACTTTTGAGATCTAAGTATTGTGCCTCTACAGGCTTTCTCTGTCCTCTAGACTTATCTTTAGCCAACACTCACTAAGCAAGATTCTTGTATGGCAGGTAGGGAGGGCCAGCCTTTCCTTTGTGCCCCTGAGATGCCATCCACCCCACAGCCCTTGCTCAGCCATGAAAGGCTCAACTGCTTTCTCCTTTTTCCTGGAAAACTCACTGACATTGGCAGGCTTGTGCTGCTGGTCCTTGCCCACAGAAAATGAAGGTCCTTCATTTAGTTTATGTTGGACCAGGCAGGTTTCTTACTATATAGTTCGGCTTATTCAATCTGTTTGCTTTGTAGTTTTGATATGTTTAAAGAAAAATGAGGCTCAAAACTGAATACATTGCTTTAATACTGTTACAGCAGAAATGGTGGTCTTTTGTGAACTTCACACCATGTTTGGAACTGGTACTGAGCACCTAAATAGAAATCCTTTGTGTGTCTCCCTCTTACAATGAACACTGGAATTAACTGAGTGGACAGATTGAGGAATAATTGTGTGTGTGAGTGTGTGTGTGTGTGTGTGTGTGTTTCCATAGCTAGCAGGTCAGCTGAGATCGAGAGTGAGAATTATCTCAGTAATGGAATCTGGTCTGCATTTAGACCAATTCAGACCTTTGTATTGAACTGAGTTCTTCAGATAGATTTCAACACTGGCTTTCACAGGTCTAAGTTAGCATCCTTCTTTCTTCTCTGGCAGTGTTATGCATTTCAGATAACAGTTCTTTCCTTCTTGGTTGAATGGCTGACTGGGAGCTATAGCAGCAGCTGCTGCTGCTTCTGAACAGCATCTGGAAAGACTATTAAGAGGTTTTTTATGCCACATATTACAAACATGGCAACAGATCAAAATTCAGACTTTGAAGTTGTTTCTGCTGAATGCATATTGCTTTTGCATTTTTTTTGTAAAGTAAAAGAAAAAATGTAAGGCAAACCATTGTAGGTTGGTAGAAATATGTTCTGACAAGTTTAGCTTCCTTAAATGTGGGCTGGCTTGTGGCTCTGTGGTGGTATGCTTGCCTTGCAAGTGCAAGGCCCTGGGTGATCCCCAGCACTGTACACACACGCACATGAACACACACACACACAGAAACATACAAACACTTATATATACACACAGAGATCCCAAATTTGCTTCTGTTGTGCTATGACTGGCCTTAGCACAATTGTCAAAAATCATTTGGCCATAGATACATACATGATTTGCTTTCTGGCTGTCAGTTTTATTCCATTTGTCTGTATCTCTGTCCTTGTGTTAGTACAACACCTTTTGATTGCTTGCTCTTTGAATTAGTTTTTGCAGTTGGGACATATAAGTCTACCGACATTTTCCCTCTTTAAGATTGTTTTGTTATTTGGAGCTTCTTCTGGTTTCGTATGAATTTGAGGACTGGCTTTCCCATTTCTACAGCTCCTTGTTCTTTATGGCTATGCAGTATGTATTGTATGAATTTAAGTCATTGGTTTATTCAGTCTCTATTGAGTATATTCTGTTGATGGAGAATGGATACATGCATGTACTTGATTTTAAAATCTATTTTCTTTCTCACTTATTTGGGGATTTAGGCATTTTTGTCATGCTCTACCTTGAGTGAATATATTCTTCAAAAGCTTTTGTTGCTAAGGAAACAGACTTTTTGGCCTCTTTTTTACAGTCTACCTTTAGAAAATGATGTATTTTCTAGGCATTATATTCATTGTTCATGATTGATACATGTTTAAAAAAAAGAATGATGGCACTCAAACTGTTTTGCAAATAATTTGCCCTTTTTGTTCCCAGGTGCCCTTTTTGTCTCCTTTGGAAGGTCATATTTGTTTAAAAATAAACTGTCAAGTGAATTCAAGTGTTGAAGAAAAAGGTTTTCTAGTAAGTAACATCAGTTAATCTTTATTTCCTTTTTTCCATTTTATGAAATACAGACACTTGTTATCCCATGGGAAGGAGAGCCTGTGTGATTAAGTGATAAATTGGTTCAGTAAAGCCTTGTTGTATGTCTTCTATATGCCAGTTGCTGTGCTGGGTCCGCTGCGAGAGGGCAGCTCTGGGATTCATAAACTCCGTGTCAGTAATGGAAAAAAGATACAAAGGAAAGGGAGACATTTTATTGGACACTATTGGCCAGGGGGAAGAAGGAGGAGGGATGGCTACCCTATCAGGTGGTGGTGCTGAGGGCCCTTTGTTCTTAGCTGTTTTCATTGGATGTTAAGGCCCTCCGCCTACTTGTTGTAGCCTGCTTGGGGTATTTCCTGGGGTGGTATAGATGGATCCCAGGCCCGAAGACCCCTAGCTCCCTGCACCATCATCTATTTCTGCATGCACATTTTAAAGTGGTCTTTATTTGACTTCCTTTATCCTGTCAGACTGTGTCCCTAGAATTTATGGGTTGGTTAAAAGGAACCTTACATACAAGGTTAGCAATTAAATAAAGACAAACAGTGAGAGGATATATACAGTGGTACTTCGGTTCATGAATTTAATGTGTTCCACAATTCTGGAAAAGGTGGCTGTGCTTCTCTTTATTACCCAGCGCAGGGCTCACATACAAAAACAAAATTTTGCCAAATGCTTCTGTTTGCAAACCAAATTGTTCACCAACAAAAGTGTTGGTGAACCAAGGTACCATACTATATAGTAGATAGAGAGCTGTCTTTTAAGTGACCACCCCTTGCCTCCTTTGTACAGTGCAGACGGGTGGCTAGGCTAACTTGGTGAGGGTATGGCTTATCAGCTTTCTCCTGCCTTGTTAACTGCTCCATCTGTATAGAGTGTTAAGTCTTTCTGGTCAGGGTTAGCCAGAAAGCCCAAGCCTTCCCAGTTTTATGGAGCCCTTTCCCCTACACCGGTACTGGAATAGGATAGATCACAAAGCATAAACCCTCTGCTACAGAGCAGAGCTTTCGGTCTGGTATGGAGAAGCACCAGGGAAGCAGTGAGCACAGTGCAGCACTGCCACTGGTGAGAGCATGGGGTGTGCAGGCCTGGATGTGAGCCCAGTCCTGAATGCCTTGGCATGGCTGGAGCGAGCCACTAACTGGAGCTGTTGGGGAAGAGGAGGACTCTGGGTAAGGGGAGCATCTGAGGGCCTGCAGTTCCTGTCCCTCTCCCACTCACCCAGGGAAGAGAAAGGTGACCCTCTGCAACAGTGGCAAGTGTCTCAGATGGCTGGAGTTTAGCATGAGAGAGAGAGAGAGAGAGAGAGAGAGAGTGTGTGTGTGTGTGATGTGAAGAGGGCGATTGGGGAAGAAAGTTATGGTCAGGAGAATGTGCCACATGTACAACGGCCCTTCACAGAGTTTGGGCTTCAGTCTGAAGCTGCTAAGTTACTCTGACAGACTTTAAGCTGGGGTTTGGACAAATCATTTTGACCGACAGGTAGAATGTAGATTGGAGAGGGCCAGCCCTGAAAACCTAGTTGGGAGGCAGTTGTTCCTGTGAGAGGAGATGTACTGCAGGCGTATGGAGAGAGGAAGGAGGAGGCAGGACAGACCCGCCTGAACTGAGAGATGTGCTCCAGCTTGAGGGAGGCGCACATTGGGATGGTGCCCAGACCCTTGCCTTAGTTTAAGGCAATAAAATAAATACAGGGCCTGGGAGAAGAGCCATGTGCTCCTCTTTCCCATATTCAAAGTATGAAGTGATGCCCCCCAACAGTTTATTGTGAGAATGGCAAGCAGCATTGGACCTATGAGTCCACTGATGGATTTTTATCTTCAGCCTGTAACATGCTTTACAATCCTCAGTGTACCATGTAGCCATCTCTCTTTTCAGGAGAATTTCAAAATATATTAGACGTTAGGCACTTTCCTCTAAAACTGAAGTGTGTATTTCCTGAGTTTTGATGAATGCATACACATATGTTACCCAATTTCTGTTAAGATACAGCTAGTCCTGGTGGCACATGCCTGTAATTCCAGCACTTGGGATGCTTGGGAAGATTGGGAGTTCAAGCCCAGCCTTGGCTGACGACAGTGTGGAGGAGGAGGCTGGTCTTTAAAGGACAGGCCCAAGGGAGAAGTCCTCAGAGGAGACTGGGGAGGAAGTGGATAACCTGATGATCTGGTTGCCAAGGGAAGAGAGTTTGAAGGAAGGAGTAGCCAGGTTAGGCAAGGGTCGGTCCCCTATGACTCCTGTACTCACTTTGGAAGGTGGTCATTCCAGCCCCAGTAAAAGTAGAACCTGGCTTGAAGATGCCTACAGAGTGGCTGGAAAGTGAGATAAGGGAAAGAGCAACTCTTGGAAACAAAGTTTGGCAGCTGGCAGCAAAGGAGCCAGAGAGTAGGGTGTGATACTTGTAGCAGTCTGTAGGATGAAAGGATCTTGTCCACATTTTATTAAGATAGGAGGCATTTGAGATGGTGTCTTCTAATGCAATCTGAGAGATTGAAGACAGAGGCCTCGGGAGTCTGAACTAGAATAATCACAGAGCATGGCCCTACGAGGGGAGAAGTGAGCCTCACAGAATGAATGACATCTCTTCTGCTGTCAGGGAAGAGGGGCAGTGTGGACTACATAGACAGTGGTGGTTATGGTGGAAATCTAGCTGCCCAACTCTTGATGCAAGAGTCTGATGGCAGGGATGTGTTGCACAACAGTCTGCAGTTGCTGTCAAAGGTCAGAAGGAAGGGCTGGACTGTAGGAGAAGCCCACCTGGCCCAGGTAACCAAGAAGTCTGACATCCTGGGAACAAAGTTCCTTCCTTCTTAGCTGTTTACGTGTAAGTCCAGTAGGTGGCACTAAATATTCTTGGGAAAGTTTTTGGGTTTTGTTTTAATTCCTGACTTGAAACCTGTTTACCTTCTGACATTTTCTTTTAATGTAAATATTGTCATATTTCATTATAGACACCTTTAGCCTGTTGTAGGCCCTCTTATAATAACCAATTCATTTGCATGCACTGCCTGCTGTATTTAGGTTTTCTTTTTCCTTTTTATTGAGTTTATTGGTACATTTTAGGTATACAGTACAATTACATTCATTATTGGGATCTTGCACCTTTACATGACAGGTCTTGGTTCTCATTTCATATTTAGTTTTTGAGCTGTTCTCTAATTAGATGCAGTCAGATTTATTCTATCTTGAACCCTGAGGCCCATTTCTGTTACATCATACAGGAATGTGGCGAGGAAGAGTTTAGGACTCCCTCACATATCCTCTGTTGCTTCCTGTGGAGCCAGGGCATCTGGAAGGAGGAAGCCTGGCCTTTAAGAGACTGGTACCTGGCTCTATACCCACCCTGGGCCTGGTCGGCTTGCCTTGGTGAACAGCAGGGCAAGGGTGTTCTGCCTGGGACTGTCGTCACTTTATTCCCCTGGCCCAAGGTTTCCTTCACTGTAAGGAGGAAAAGGCCACTTTTCCTTCCTCTGTGTACAGTAGGATGTGACAGTACCTGTTGTCCTTCTGATTAGCAGCACCTTCCTCTGTTCATTGCCTGTGTGGTGTGAAAGGTGAAGGTAGACACAGGAGGGAGCTGGTGAGCTGTCTGTAGTATCTGTGCCTGAAAGTGAAGTAAGATTCCTCCTGTCCTCCTTCCTGGGCTGCAAGCAGTATTGCCCATAAAAGTATACCTTAGAAGAAGGAGTGAGTTAGGGGAGCAGAAAAGGCAGGCGGGGTGGCTCTGCCTGGATGGAGCAGGCTAATTAATTCTACTAATAACCCTGAGGCTCAGTCTAGCATGGAAGCCCCTCTCCTACCAGGAACTTTCCTCCCTGACCAGAGACTGCTTTCCTCATTCAAACCACCTTTCTGAGCCTCCCATAAATTAGGGAGTTGAGAAGAGTGTATATCATGCTACCACAGGATTGGTGTAAAGATTAGTGAGATAAATTGTAAAAATGTATTTATAGGGGTGCTTCTCACAGAAACCACCAAATAACATTAGTTTTTAGTAGCTAGCTGCCCAGCTGTCAGAAAGAGAACACTGTAACTGAAAGGTGGAAAGGCCTCAAGATGCCTTGAGGTCATCTGTAGCACAGGGCAGCACCAGGCAACACCAGAGGCCCCTGCAGACTATGTGTGGCTGCTGACTTGGCTCTGTACCTGCCTTGGGCTCCAGCAGGAGCTGAGTGTTTGTGACAGAGCCCCTCATGCCTGGAATATAATCGGCCCTCTAAGGAGAAGGATCGCCAATCCATGACTACAGCGTCGTTAACAGTTTTCCCCTTGCTTTGTTCTCTAACATAAAAGTTTATAAAGAAAAATAATTTTTAATTAAAAGTGAGGTTTTATATAAATTAGCGCTCTGTTGTGATTACAATTATGAAACGCGAGGTGGGGGAGGGTGGAAAGGAGGGGGAGGGAGAGAAGGCAGCTTCTACTTATACTGCTGCTTCTGTAGAAGTAGTTCCTTGGAAGGCAGCTCAGATGTGGTAAGTCTGAGTCTGAGGAGGCCTGTGTGGTGCAGCGCCTCTGCCTCCCACCTCCCCGCAGAATGCCCGGTGTGCTTTGGAGGCGAGGAGGCGAGATTGACCCAGCGGCAGACTGCAGGGCGCCACCGCTTCTCCAGGTGGTGGCTGGGGAGGACCTGCGCGTCTCAGGGTTCTCCCGGGATCCCGCAGGGCCGCTCATCCTGAGTTGAGTCTTTTCTAACTCTTAGAAAACTGTTCTCTTAAATAATAAATACAAGTCTTTCAAAGGAAGATAGTTCTAGCTTAATATTCTGTCAGGAGCTTTTTAATGTGTGAGTATAATGCTCAGTTCCTTTCCTTCGCACCACATGGGGTGTAAACCCCCTTCTTTACAGAGGATTTGGATAGGGTAATTAGGTGGAGATATTTGGGGTAATATCGGGATGTTCGTAAGTGTGTGTAGATATTATAGTTAGCCTCTGATGTGAGCAATTGGCGATTGTAAAGCTATGATAAAATTCTTATAAATGGATTTTGATGCGGATTATGACAACATACAGAAGCCTACCATATAGAATCAGCCATTCACTATTAGGGTGTTTTCTTTGAGTTTCTAAAGTCAGCATTTCAATTGACTTTCACAGACTATATTTGAAGATGTTAGTGGCTTTGGTGCCTGGCATAGAAGATGGTGTGTGCTTTCTGGAAACTGTATCTCCTATTGGACCTATCCAGATGACGAACGGCGGAAGGTAAATTTTGTTTTTTACTTTTTTCTTTGGATCGAACTCAGGGCTTTGATTGTATATCTTTCTAAACTTTAACAATTTATAATATGGGGTCAGGGACTTAGCTCAGTGGTTCTGCTGCCTGCCTCACAAGTGCAAGGTCCCGAGTTCGATCTCCAGTACCAAAAAAAGAAAAAATATTTAATAATAGTTATAATATATCAATTTATGAATGTTTTAAAAGCAAAAAGCAGTGAGGGGCTGGAGATTTAGCTCAGCAGTTCAGTGGCCTATCTTGTAAGCGCAAGGACCCGAGTTCAATCCCCGGTACCCCCCCCAAAAAAAAACTGCGAAAAGCAGTGCTTTTTAAAGTTTTTCTTTTTTCCTCTCCTTTATGCTGGGGATTGAGCCCAGGGCCTTATACTGCTGGAGAAGTGATCTGCTCTAAGCTCTGCCCAAGCCATAGCAGCAGTCTTCATCTCTGCTTTTTATGTAACCCTTCAATGCTTAGTGATCCATTTTTGCAGAGCCCATAACAATGGAACATAATGAAATGTGTTCTTTAGGTAACATGTATGAATTTTATGCAAAAATTTAAAAAATTTCAGTCTTTGGCATAAAAAGGTTCATGATGCACCCTGGCATCTTTCCATGTCAATAAAGATACAGCTATAATATTGTGTTTATTAGTTGTTAAATAGCATTACACTTTAGTCTTTAAAATTAGTGGTATTTTCAAAATATAGACAGGTATGGTGGTACATGCTATAATGTTAGCACTCAGAAGGTCGCGGCAGGAGGTTCATGAGTTTGAGGTTAGGCTGGACTACATAGTAAGACCCTATTTAAAAAAAAAAAAGAAGTGAAATGTTTAAGATATTTAAAAAGACATAGAGAAAAAAAAAGACATAGAAATAATTTCAGTCAACCTCTGTTATCAGACCAGTGAACGTTCCCCTATGTAGTTCTCCACATAGATAATCCCTGTGCTAAAATTATTTATTGTTCCTATACATTTTTGGGGGTGGGGTAACCTAGGATTGAACTTGGGACCTTGCGCTTAGGAGGGTCCCCATACATTTCTTTAGATTCTTCTCCTGTATAGTAACTATGTAATTGTTACTGTAGTAACAATGTAATTGTAATTGCACATTTTAAAACATAAAAATCATATACATGTGAAGTTAGTCTTGGTTGATGTGCGTAATTCTAGTTTGTCTCTTTTCTCTGTAGTATAGTATTCCATTATGAGGCCTTATCATAATTTATTCCTTTTCTTATTAATGGACACTTAGATTATTTCCAAATCGGTGCTGTTCAAAACAGTGCTGCTGTGATTTAACTTTGATATACATCAATGGACATTCTTTCTTGAGTTTTACCTAGTAGTAGAATTGCTTGGTGCAAGATTTGGACTTCTTCAGCTTACTAGATTTTGTCAAATGATTCTTGAAAATAGTCATACAATTTTCTATTCCCACCAGGAATATATATGTAAGAGTTCTTAGTTTTCCTTATTCCCACCAACAGTTGATATGTTGGCCTTTTAACTTTTGGTCATTATGAGAGAGGCAAAATGTTACCTCAGTTTTTCTTTTGTATCTCCCTGATTACCAGAACAGGATCTTTTCTTGTATTTATAGCCATTTGTATTTTCTCTGATTTTCTATATCTTTTGGTAAGTTACAGTTATATTTCTGTAGCCTTTGACTAGGCATATCTTTTAGCTTTAAAGAGTCTTTGTTTGTTTATCCTTTTTTTGAGACAGGGTCTCACTATGTAGTTGAGACTGACCTGAAACTCACTGTGTAGCCCAGGCTGGTCTTGAACTCACAGCGATCCTCCTGCCTCAGCCTCCTGAGTGCTAGGATCACTAAAGAGTCTTTTAATGAACAGAATGTTAAGAAAATAAGCTCCAGCCTGGGATTTAGCTCAGTGGTTCTGCTGCCTACTTTGCAAGCATAAGGATCTGAGTTCAATCCCCAGTACCAAAAGAAAAAAAAAGAAAAGAAAATAAGTTCTGTCAACCTATTGCATTGTTTGTATTTTCCTGAGTCTTCAGAAAACTGCCAAGTGTCTGTAATCCCAGCCCTTAGGAAGCTGAGGCAGGAGGATTAGTGAAAGTTTGAGGCCAGCCTGGGGTATATAGCTGGACTCTGTCCCCCGAAAAAACCAAGAATAACAAAAAACAAAGAAAGAAAGAGAAAAAAGAAAGGAAGGAAGGAAAGGAAAGAAAAAGGAAAAGAAAAGAAAGGTGGATTGATTCTTACTCTGCAGTTGAAAAGACTTCTCTTAAGCCAGTTATGGTGGCTCACACCTGTAATTTCAGCAGTCAGGAAGTTTAGGCAGGAGGATCACCAGGAGTTCAAGGCTAGCCTGAACTACACAGTGAAATTCTGTCTCCAAAAAACAAAACAAATAAACAAAAAAATTTATTTCATGTCTCCTTCCAAAGTTATAAAGTTTTATATTTCATATTTAATTTACCTTAAGTTGATGTATCTTTCTGGACAGCCGATTGTGCCAGTGTTGTTGAATGGTCCTTCCTCCCAGCACTGGTTCGCAGTGCCATTTCTGGTGTATGTGAAGATATTCATTGTATGTATGTGGATAAAATGTCATTGGTTTAACTTTAGGGTTTCTGTGCTATTTCCTTTGGTCTGTTTCTCTACCCCAGTCTTAATCATCATAGCTTGAAAACAGATCTTAATGCCTGGTAAGGCACCTCCCATAGTTTGCTGTTATTCAGTAATGCATCTCCTTTGTTTTGTACACATGTGTGCACACACACATGTAAAGTATTGCATATATAATAAAATATTCAAATGGTTACACAATAAATGAGAAATGGTATAATGAATTCTTGGCTTCAGTAAATATTTTCATGTTTTGTTGTGTCCACAACACACAAATCTTTTGTTCTTGCTGCTTTGCTGGGGGTATTTTAAAGCAATTATCAGACTTCATATTAAATCATTTCATCCAAGGGAGGCCAGGCTGTGGGTTCCTAGTGTTGGTCCAAGGGAATCCAGGGTTTCAGCTGGCTTGCTCTTCTGCACTCTCTCTTCCTCAATGATTTTGTCCTTGACAGTTTCTTTTACTTTAATGAATATGTGTTGGTTACCTAGAATTTGAGGAGTTATGTAATGGAAGGTCTTTCATACTGTTTAGTTTACCATATATGCTGGAAAGATAAAATCACTATTTTTAAAAGTATTTATTTATTTATTTGGGTTTTTTTGGACAGGGTCTACAGTTTAGGCTGAACCTGAACTCGCTGTGGCCCAGGCTGGCCTCCAGCTTGCACCAGTCCTCCTGCTCCAGCCTCCCAAGTGTTGGCTGAGTTTTTAGACAGGTGCCACCACACTAGGCAGAAGCATAGTTTTTTATTTTATTTTATTTTATTTATTTTTTGGTATGTTGAGATAGAGTATCACTATGTAGTTCAGGTTGGCCTTGAACTCGTTATGTAGTCCAGGTTGGCCCAAACTTATGGTGATCCTCCTACTTCACCAACTACAGGGGTTGCAAGTGTGCACCACCATGCCTGGCAGCATAAAATAATTATTTAGATAGTCTCCTATGCCTGTCATTTAATTTGTTTCAATTTTTTATGATTAAGAAAAGTGATTACATATGTATAAACATCTTTGTGTGATGAGGCTGCTGCTGCTGCTGCTGATGATGATGATTATATGCTTTTTGGTAGTACTGAGGATTGAACCTGAAGCCTTCATGCTGAGCTACATCCCCAACCTCTTTATTTTTTATTCTACATTTTCCCCAGTAGAATTTAAGAATTTCTGTTACCCTCCAACCAATCAACAGAGATTTTTACTGTTTTATCCAAACTTAACCAGTATAAGGGTTTAAAATGCTACATTTAAATTTCTCTTTGTAATTACTAACAGAGTTGACAGTTTTATTGGCTCTATCGACTATTTGTGCCCATATGTATCCCTTCTCTCCTTTTCAGGACCATTTGGTCTCATGAGTTTTTATCTCCCCTTTGGCTCATGCACCATAGGAATTACATGGCTCCCAAAGCTACAAGGCAATTGTTTGGCCTTATCTTTTAGAGATACATAAAAAATATTTACACACACAATACAATGTTTAGGTTTCCATTTATGAAAGGGGAGAAGGGAGTGAGGTATAGATACAAGGTAGCTGAATATGTGTTTCTGATTGTTGAAGCTGGGTGAAGTACTTGGGGGTCCAGCGCACTATACCTTTTGAAGTTTTTCATATCCATAATACATTTTTGTTTGTTTGTTGTTTCTTTGTTTTAGGTTTATAGGATATTTGACTAGAGCAATCAGTTGATATTTTCGGTTTTTATTTTTATGTCTAGCAAGAAATAGTAATAAATACTGAATGTATTTCTTTCATCCCAGTGTAACTCACTGTTAACTTTAAAAATTTTTAATTTTAATTGATATAGTAATTGAATATATTTTTCAGTGCATTGGGTATTGTGGATTGACCCAGTTGAGCTGATTAGCTTACTATCATTTCAAATACTTATCATTTCCTTGTGGTAGGAACATTAAAAAATCCTCTTTTACCTATTTATTTTGAAATAAATATTTATGTTAACTGTAGTCACTGTGCTGTGTGGTAAAACTCACTCCTCCCAAAGTTTTTGACTGTTGCTGTTGACCACACCTCTGCTTCCCTTCCTCCTCCCCAGCCTCTGGTGACCACCGCTCCATCCTGTACGGTGAATTTGCCTTTCTGAAGTTCCATACTGAAGTGAGGTCACACGGTATCTACTTCTCTGTGCCTGACCTGTTTAATTAACCTGCTGTCTTCTAGGTTCATCCATATTGTTGCAAATGACAGTGTCCTGTTCCCTTATAAAGTTGAATACTACCCCATTGTGTAGGCGCCACATTTCTGTCATTCTTCTGTTGCTAGGCACCTAGGTTGTTTGCATATGTTGGCCATTGTGAATGATCCTGCCGTCAACACAGTGCTGACATCGCTTCAACATACTGATTTCAGTGTCTTTGGGTGTATACCAATAATGGGATTGCTGGAACGTATCTTAATGCTTTCCATTTTATTTATTTTTAAAAATTTGAGACAGATTCTCACTAAGTTACCCAGGGTGTCCTTGAATCCTTCCTGCTTCAGCTTACTGTGTAGCTGGGAGTATAAGTGTGGACCACTCTACCTGGTGCTTTTTAGTTTTAATTTATATAAATCTACCCACAGTTTAATGCTTAATGACCTAAATAATTTTCTTTCTTTTCTATTAACATTTTTATTTATTTTTAAATTTTTTATTGGTACATGTACATGTTTGCAGTACTTAATGATCGCCTTCAGCATGGGGAGTTAGCACATTATACATAGCACATCTTGATTCTTTTTATTTCCCCCTCCCCCAATTTTCTACTAATATTTCTAAAAATTTATGTTTCAAGAATCCCATAGGAAGGATAAACCTAGCCAACTGTACCAGCCGGCAGATAGAACCAGCCAACAGAGAATTTTGTGCAAGACGCAACACTTTTGAATTAATTACTGTCCGACCACAAAGAGAAGACGACCGGGAGACTCTGGTCAGCCAGTGCAGGGACACACTCTGCGTCACAAAGTATGTATTACCCTGCTACTCTTTGTGTTAACTGTGTTGTCACTTACGTTCTTATGACTACGAGAAACATCAGAGATGGTTCTTGACTCAAGAGGGAGCAGCTGAAAGGCTGCTGTGAGAGCAGTGTAGGAATTCGTGCCACTGAGATAGATGAGTGTGATGTTCAGGTTCTGTTACAGCCATCCCTGTTCCCACAACACACACTGCAGGCATTTTCAAGGCTGTCAGTTCATAATCTCTGGGTTAAGCTTGAACGATTTCATGCGAAACTGAAAAGTCAAGCCTTATTCACAGAGTGTGTGTACAGCTTTCCTTTGCATTACAGAAAAACTCCTCATTTTGTAAGATGACACGACTCTCACTCTGTAACGTTCCAATTGGAGATTAACAAAAGAAATTCTAGGAAAGTCACTTTTTTATTAGTTGTTGTAGTTAACCTTGAGCTTAAATATAAAAAATAATTATTGTTAAGGAACTGACATAGGTTCTTCTACTCAGATGGTCAGAAGAAACTTGAAGCCCAACTTCAGTGTAGAAACTTACATTTAGGGGCAACGGATGGAATTTGATACAGCCTTTTTATTTATCAGATTTTGCAGACAGGGACAAAAATAGCTCCATGGTTTCTAGAGCAAAAGTATTATAAAGCTACATCAAAGAGACACCATACCAAAGTAAAAGAGTTGCCCAGAGACTGCCAGTGTGTTTCAGAATGACTAGAGCACCCATTCTTTGGAGAGTCTTCATGTGTAGATTACTTTCCAATTCCTCCGTCTTAGCTCTTCTGCTCCTTTCCTTGGGGGACCTTCTACATGTAGCACTAGTATCAGATAGGGCAGGAGACACGAAGTGGGATTGTAGTCATTTTGCTTCATAGTTTCTGTGACAATGTCCAATGAGAGGACCAATCAAAGCTCAGCTCTAAGCAGTTCCTGGCCGCAGCGGTTCCCTTGTTGCCTTGTAATATTATCACAGTTCTCACATAACGCTGTCTTCTCCTTGCTGCAGAAACCCTCCTGGACTTCTTCTGGGGCCTCCCTCATGGCAGAAAGAGCAACACCACATGTTGCCTAATCACTCTGCCCTTGATTCTCTATAGCTTCTCTTATAGTATCACCATTGCCCAGGTGTGTGCACCTTTGTCCAAGAGCATCCTGGAAGCCTTGTGTCCCTGGTGCAGTCCTGCCTGCATCTTCAGCTTTTCTTCAGGCTCGGAAAATTATTTCATGACAGTATAAACATTCTACATCACCCTTGCCTTAATGATGTATTAGGGTCTTCTAAACCTCAACCTTTTGTCTAAATTTAATGTACCTCATTTTCATTCCTACTCACCACTGCTGTCTTTCCCTCTTCAATATGAAAGATTTCTATTTTAGTCAATATTGCCCCACATTAGACACTGTTCATTTGAACTAAAGATGCTTTAACAGTTGGGAGGCAGGATTTTGTAGTGCAGCTTTGAAGCTGACAGGCCTAAGGTTTTTTATTGCTTTAGTTGTTTTAGTGTTGGGTACTGGACCCAGGAGCTTGTACATAGGATGGTACTCTACCCTCCCCTGTCCAAGAGATCTCAGTTTAATCCCAACTCAGTGACTTAACCAAAGTAACCATGGCAAATCCCTTACCTCTAATGCCCTATAAATTCTGTGTCAAAAGAAAGAAAATAAATGTCACAGAGTGACAAAAGAATCCCAAGTAGACAACACAGGGGTGAGCATGTGGAATGAACCCAGCCAATAGTCTTGGTTACTGCTATAAGGAGTCTTTCCCTCCCCACTGACCTCCAGGAGATGGTGAAGGTGGGGAGGAGCTGTAAAGATGCAGGATTAATACAGTACCAGAACCTACCAGGCACAGTGGCACATGCCTGTAATCTCAGCACTCTGGGAATCTGAGGAAGGAACATCAGAAATTTAAGCCCAGCCTGGGCAATTTAGCAACTCAGTGAGACCCTGTCTCAAAAAATAAGGGCGGGCTGGGGATTTAGCTCAGTGGTTCTGCCACCTGCCTCGAAAGTGCAAGGACCTTTGTTCAATCTCTGGCACACACACACACACAAAATAAAAAGAGCCAGGTGTGGTGGCGCACACCTATAATCCCAGCACTTGGGAGGCCGAGGCAGGAGGATTGCTGTGAGTTCAAGACCAGCCTGGGCTACATAGTGAGTTCCAGGTCAGTCTCAACTACATAGTGAGACCCT